GAGAATTTGTTTTACTTTTTGACTTTGACATGTTTTTACACTTTGATGAGGTTGCTAGATTCATGTTTATTTAAAGAATAATGATATACAAATAAAACATGGGTCCAGCTTCTGTCCAGTCCGGGATCGGACTAGACTGTGCTGTTGGGTCCGTGAGAGCCCACCACGGATCCCGTTTTGAAAATCTGAACCGTTGAATGTGTAGAACTCGTTGAGTACTACATGGCTGTGAAAAATCACATTGATTGGATATCGATAGCTATGTGATCAAATCAGTTTTGTATAAAAAAAATGGACGGTGAAAAAATTAACGGTTGATAAAAAACTGTTTTGTTCACATAGTTATCGATATCCGATCAACGTGATTTTTTACAGGCATATAGTACTCGACGAGTTCTACACATTGAACGGTTCAGATTATCAAAACGGGACCCATGGTGGGCCCCCACAGTCCCAACAGCACGGTCCAGTCCGTCGGACTGGACAGAAGCCGTGGCCATAAAAAATTTACTCACAACATCTATACATAATTATTTGTCAAATTTATATTCATCCATTTTGAATCAAAAGACCCAAAAAAGTGACATTATTTCGAAATTGCCATCGACACTTGATGATGCCTTACGATTTGTACCCTGTGATAATGTTGAAACTACCTCCCTAAGAAACTCTATCGCTTGGTTTCTAGAGGAAAATTTTGATATTAAATAAGGGTATCAAAAAAAATTTTTTTTTGGATAAATAATAAATGAGGGTATCAATATTGTTAAGAAAGTAAAAAAAAAAAAACTCTAAATTAAATGTCCACGACTGTCTTCATACTAGATCATATAGAGGAGATGGAGAAAAGAAGTTTAGAGAACAAATAGAACAAGAAGTTTAAAACCAATTCAAAGAAGTTGATCATTTGTTTGAAATGATTGGAACCATGCATGGATTGTGTGTCAATCTAAAAGAACAAAAATGGAGGTAGAAAGGAGATAACCACTTGCAGGAGTTTCTTCTTCAACCCAATAGATAAAAGAGCAAGTAAAATAAGTCTCCAACTCTAAATTTCTTCTGGCGGGTTAAAATTTGTCCAATTTTTTTAGTATTTAAAAGAAAATATTGATAACTCAATTTTGCAATTTTATTTACATTTGATTAGTTAGTTTATAGTTCGGTTAAAAAAGTTATTACCTTTATGAGTTTATCTATACAAGTGGTTTGGTTGTGATAAACAGAACAGATATGGTATTATGATACTTTTGATAGACATTAGACAATGTTAAAAACCACCCCACAATAGCCTAAGTACCCATAAGAACCAAGTTATGAAATCATTACAAAATTAGTTTTTTTAACTCATGTGCCCAATTCCCACACCACAACAGAAAAATTCTCTGTATGCTTTCTCTTCAAGTATGATAAACTGTCTATCTATATTAATATAGTTAGATAAAGGCACATATAATGTTAAAATCTTCCACATTACCCATGAGAAAATGAAAAAAGATGGAAGCTGCAATGTAGTATTCTAAGAAATAGAAATACGAGAAAGAGCAACAGAACACTGATAATGAATCATGAAAATATAAAATGTGAGAAAGGGATTGCGGTCTAGGGTTTCATAGGCCAACCCAGGGATTGCGGTCTAGGTATTTTCCTATTTTTATAAACCAACCCAGTGAGTTCACAAACGTGAAAGGGGTAGTTTCAAAGAAAGGGATTGCGGTCTAGGGTTTCATAGAATGGATATAGAGAAAGGGGGAGAGAAAAAAGTTGCAGAGAGAGAGAGAGAGAGAGAGAGATACCTTCAGGCGAAGTCGAGGGTAGGTCTTGTTCGCAAGGATGGTCTTCGAGGATGGTCTTTGAGGGCGAAGAAGAGTGTCTGCGTGCTGTCTCAAAAACAGGGGCTTTGGGAAAAAAACTGAACAAATTTGAAAAAAGGTAACCGGTTCAAGAGGTTGTCAATATTCCTAATCAAATTATTCAGTGGCTGAGATTAATTTGTAAAAATCTAATGGCTTAAAATAAATGTGTATATGATGTGCACATATTATTGAAGTGCACATCTTAACAGCTCCCTTTCTTTATTGATAAGTTTTTTTATTTTTATTTTTTTAATTTTACTTTCTAGGGGTGTTTGCGGTTCGGTTGCGGTTGGAAATTTTTTAATCTGGCATCCGTCTGTCGGATGAGTGAATTGGAAAAAAATCAATTCACATCTATTCGCCGAATTGACGGATGTAAATTGAGCGAATTGGTAGATTAGTGGATGGATGCAAATCAGTTTGACAGTTCAAACTTTTACAAATTTTGAACATAATATAACTTGTCAACATTTTTTTTTAGATAATAATTCAACTTAACATAACTAAAAGATTATCAAGTAAATTGTCAAATACAAATAATAAAAATATATAAGAAAACCATGCATTATCAAAACTATTTCATTATTTTTTTTATATATTCAAAAACTAATTATTTTGATTTTTTTTTAAATGACAAAATTAAGTCATATATTTTTCACACAAAAATATCAAATATCAACCCTTACCATTTGATAAAAGGATTTCCCAAATTAAAAACACAACAGAATATCTAAATTCTTTTTCAATTAAAAATACAAATAGAATATCTAAATAAATTGAAAAACAAAGTCTTACAAATTATTAGGAGTGCTCGTGATTTAACGGTTCGATTAGGCTAAAGGAATCTCAAATTTACCATCCGTCAAAAACTAGACAAATTGAAAAAAATTAATCTGTAACCGTCCGTTTGTCATCACGTATCCGTTCAAAATACGTTAGATCAATTCGGTCGATTTAGATGAATCTGAATATCAGTTGCTCACCCTTAATACTTCCTGCTTGTGAAAACATTGTTTGGGCAAAAGGTACACTTGGAGGTTTTTCCTTCAAGAAATTTGTGTAATTATTTAATTGTGAAGCTCTTAAAACCACCGCCATTTGGATTTTGTCCGAATGGTCAAGCTCCATTATCGTCTTAATGTTGTGTTTAAAGAGTCATTTAAGTCTTGAGTTTGTTTGCTGCCAATGGGACTCAAATTATACTAGTTTAAGAATGGTTATGTTAATTGTCTAACTTTGAACATTTTTGTGATACCTTTCACTTAAACTTGTGTACTAAATATTTATTCCAAGGATTTATTATATTAAACTTGTGTACTAGAAATGGAATACATAGGTTTTCCAAACGTGCGATGGGTGAACTAGTTTTTGTTTTTGTTTTTGTTTTTTTTTGGGAGAGATCTGAAAATTATAGTTTGTTTTTGGGATTAAAGAAGATATTAATCCAAAGTAAAATTCTTTAATTGGTCAACGGGTCAGATTTGAACTGACTCATTCTAGATCCTTAAAGCCCAGACAGACTTAAACATTTGGGTTCCAAGCTCATTGGAAAAAATAAAATAAAAAATGCGGAATTATTATAAAAATTTAAAGTACATCACAACAATTAGAATTGCTTATTGGATCATGAAAAATAAAGAAAATAAACTTAATTTATTAAAATACAAAATTACTTTCATTTTGTTTTTAAATTATATATATTTATTTAATTTAATAAAAATAATTACTACTTTCATAATTGTTAACTATGATACATTTAGAGCATCTCCAACGGTAACTCAAATTTTTCACCAAATCTGAGTCAAAAATGACCTATTTTACCAAATTTGATACCACTCACTCCAACGGTTCACCTTTCACCAAATCTATCTTGGGACAACCGGGTGGTCGACCGGTTAGGCAAAAAAAAATTTTTTTTTTTCGCGAATTGTCTGAACTTTTTTTTGAACTTTCTGAACTTTTTTCGGGACGACCGGGTGGTCGACCGGCCGGTTAGGCAAATTTTTTTTTTTTTAACGGTTTGAACTTTTTTTGCTGAACTGTTTGAATCTTTTACTAGTTGACCGGTGTACCTCTTTCAACGGCCAGTAACAGTGATTTGGTAAAATCTGTGTCTCGTTCTCAGTTTGATGCTTTTTTTGCTGAAATCTCATTTTGATATCAATCTGGTGCAACGGTTGGAGCATAAAAAAGTGCCTTTTTCATCAAAATTTGAATCTGATATCAATTTTGATTCACCGTTGGAGATGGTCTTATGTCTCAATTATTTATCACTTTGATACATTTATTAATATTATTATAATCTACAATTTATTATTACACAGACACAATATATTTAAAAAAATTTAAAATTTTGTCATTATCAAAATGAGAGACCATACATAAAATAAAATAAAAATTCACTCAAAATTATGAGTAAATAAGTTCACTCAATAAGACTCTACTAATAATTATTCCAATTTTTTATTTTTATTTTTTATTTTTTTGTAAAGATTGGATTCATAAGAATTTGTTGGTGTTTTGGAATCATAATAAAACCAGGGTTTCCTCACAATGGTCTCTATTTTTTTTAAAATTAAAAGCATATTCAGAAAGAAAAATGTTAAGAATTCACTCTTACGCTGTGTTAGGTTGGAGATTTGGAGAAGGATTTAGAAAGAGAAATAGAAAAGAAAGGTAAAATGTGAATAAAATATACCTATATTTCACATAGTTTCACATACTTTTTTCAATTCATTTTCCAAATCCCTTCTCAAATCTCCCAACTAAAGACAACATTAAAGTTTATGAATTTATTTGAAATATGTTTGTTTGGTGGAGATTGATTGATGAAATATAAAATTTACATATGAAATAAATTTGAGCTATTAATTTTATTTTGAGTGCTCGTTTGGCATGTGTATTTGGGTGAGGTTGTGGCTATTTTAGTCACAAAAAGATAAAATAGACTTTTTAGTCAAATAAAATAAATTATCACATTTAAATCATAATTATTTTATTTTTTATCTTACAAAAAAAAATAAAAAACCAAAAAACTCATTTTAAACAAAAAAAATTTTAACCCCAAACTAAAATAATAATAATAAAATAAAAAACTAAAAAGTAAAAAACCAAGCCACATCCAATGATAAAGGTGTGTTTGTAGTATTCTTAATTCCAAAATCCCAAACACATTCTTACAAAGCCCTCCTCCAAAGCCCCTCTCCCCTGGCAACTTTCAGGCGAACTTTCACACTCTCTCTCCAAATTCCAATCTGTTCGAGTGCGAGCGAGCAATCATCGAATAGTACAATTCTCTGATTCCATTTCTCGTTAGACTTTCAATACTGTTTCATTCTTTGCAACACACAAATCACTTTCTGGTTCAGAAAATGGGAAGAAGATTCGACGAAGCGATGCTCCCTTCAAATTTAACCCCCAATGGCGCCTCCACCGCCGCAGTTGGGGCTCCTCCTCCTTCTCGCCAACCGAACTACAACCTCACTCGTGTTCAGGTCTGCATGTTCGTCTTTATCTACATCACACCCAATTGTATGAACCCTAATTGCCGCATTGGTTTGTTTATTAGGGTTGCTATTAAGACTGTACTGCGTGGTATTCTTGATGTTTTCAAGTTTTGTTTTTTAATTTTACATTTGGTATTTGGATTCGTTTTGAGGAGGCTTGAGTATTGAGGTGTGTCATAATTATGTTTTGCAAATGATTTACTGTTGTCAAGATGTTAGGCTATGGATAATAGCGCAGACATAGTTTTTGTTGGAAGGAACACTTCAAAAGAAGGAATACATAAAAGACTAGTTTTTGAGGAGTCATATTAGCCTGTTTGGTTTCAATTTTCTAAGTTAATTTTCAAAATTTTGTTCTGAAAAATGTTTTTAGAAAATGGATCATTGTTTGGTTGTTCCAGTTTTTTTGAATTTTGGAACAACAATTCAAAATTCCCTCCAAAATACAATGACTAACCTTTTGTTTGGTTGGGGGATTTGGAAAAGGAAAGTGAAAAAGTGTGTGACATTGGGGGAAATGTAAGTATATTTTATTCACATTTCAGTTACTTTTTCTCTTTTCCTTTCCAAATTCCTTTTTAAACTTCCTAACCAAACACAGCGTAAGTGGGATGCTTTGGATTTTGGGTCTGAGGAACAACAACCAACCATTGAGGAATAAAGAAGATAGAATATTTCTATTTCCAAGGTGCATTCAGTAAATTGAGTTTTGGAAATTTTTTATTTTTATTTTTATTTTTTGGATAGCCAAACAGAAAATTTAAATTTTTCTAAAAATTGAATTCCAAAATATGGAACCAAACAGGCTGATATTTTGAATTCGTTTTGTTCACATAGGTAAGGACTGTAAATGTAGACCTTATTCATTGTGGTGATTTATTTAGCACATAACAAAATCATTCCTGGATATAAGTCAACGAAGGCATTAAGTGAGGGCAGAATTGATATATCATATGAGTATTACTTTGTTGTGATTGTGTTAATGTTAACATGGTCCATGTCAAGGTTTAGACTCAAGTCATTTCTAAACTCTAGAAAGATTACATCCCATCTTTTTAGTTGCCTACTTTAGTTTCTTCTCTTTGTTTAACTTAATCTTGGGCCATTTTCTCTGCTAGATCATAAACTTCTCTCTACCTTGACCGACAATTTAGTCCTATTTATCCTAACCGATGGTGTTGCAATAATGAGAGGAAGGCCTAAAGGGACATGTGCTAGGTAGAGAACTAACATACAAGCAAAGTTTTAAAAGGCTTTATTAAGGCTCGTTTCGAGGAAACGCCTCAAGACTTTGATTTTTAAGCTTTACTCTCCAAAGGCTTGCGCACACAATCTGAGACATGCGCTTTAGGTACGTCTTGTATACCTTTTAAATATAAGCATGTGAAGGGTACGCATATGAAGCGTTTGTCTTAGGTTCTTTTTAAACTAAGTCTGGTAGATGGTTTAAATATAAAAAAGTAAAAAATAAAAAAGAACTCCTTTTGCAACTATATTTTATAGGAAAAATTAAGTAAATGACCAATCAAGAAAAAAAAGTTAATGCTCAGTGAGAAGCTCAGTCACTAAAGCTAAGAATACCAATTTCACTTTCAATAAAGCAAAGTTTCTTTCTCTGCTGTGAGCCTTGATTAGAAAGGTATTTACACATTTATATTTAATTTTGATGTATTTATTTATTATTTTAAAAATTTTAAATTATTTACTAAATATAAAAATCAAAATTTATGCCTCGCCTCAGGAGGAGTAAAACGTCTCACGTTACGCATTCATCTTTAAAAACTTTGCATAAGGTATATTGTAAAAAATGTGGCTCAAGATGGAGCAAAGGCAAAATGTGATTCATGTAGCTAACCCCAAATAGAGGAATGAAAGCTTTGCTTCTTTATATTTGTCCTATTAATGCCTTTAATAAAATAAATTCTTATACATGCCTTCTTTAATTGTCATCATAGGTGATTAGCTGTCATAAATAATTAGTTCACTAGCAGTTTCGGGTGTTGCTGGAATTAAGGTGGATTAGTGTGTCTAGATGAGCAAGAAGCCAGGTAAGGTTGAGTAGAATTCAGAGTAGGAAGATAGAAGTAATTTTTATCTTTGGGGCCAGAAAATTGAAATTGCATGTAAGAATCAACCAATGATGATGGGAAACTAGTTTAACTGGAAGATGTATTCTGTGAGACAATTAATTGAAGATGCTTACATTTTGTAGAAGTTATACTTTGAAAACGGATGTGACTATTTCATTAGTAGTTTTTGAATTAGGAGTTTTTGGGGAGATTGGATGGCCTATTTCAGAGTACTGTGGGAATCAGTTTCTGACATTGTGCATTCACTAGATTTTTCAATTATTTTCTCTTGTCAGATCAGAGGTAAGCTAACTGCCACCTAAATTAGGTACAACCTATTTAGATAAATGCGTAAGACCGTTCATCATCTTTTTTGTCATGTACCTGTCAGATACCATATGTTTGTTAGATTGTTGAGCTCTTGCCTATTGTACCAGAAATCATGTTTGGTTCTTCGTTTCAATTTCAGGAAGCATTGGAACACTTGGCATCGATTGATTTGATTGAATTGTGCAATGAAGCTAAAGTTGAGCGTTGCCGGGCAACCAGAGACTTGAGAAGTTGTGGACGCCATGTAGAAAGTGTATTGAACTCATGTGGGCATGCATCTTTATGTACAGAGTGTTGTCAGCGTTGTGATATTTGCCCAATTTGTAGAATTCCAATACCAAAGAATGGAAATAGACTTCGCCTTCGCCTTTACTATGAGTGCATAGAGGCTGGTCTAATCTCTAAAAAATGTGATGACAGATTTCAGGAAAAAGAAGATGGAGAGAGGCAGATAGCTGCTGATATTGAACGGCTTTATTCTTTGTTTGATGTTGCCCTAGAGAACAACTTGGTTTCTCTGATTTGCCACTGTATCCTTATTTTTAAAGTTAAATGGTGGGAGCTAATAGCTATGCTTGTTAAAATGCTCTTACAAACATGAACACTCTGGGGATGGAGGGCATTGACTAGTTTTTGTAATAGTCTTTTTTTTAGCCTAGCCTAAGGTAGTCTATGTGTAGCTCAAGAAAATCAACTTAGGGAATATAAATATGCAAAATATAAATATACAAATACATATGATCTAGAGTAATAACAAAAAGGATTACGATATTAGAGAATTGTGAGGAAAGTTAAAGGAAAGAGATCTAAAAGATATTTTTCCTAAAATTACTGTTTGGTCTACTTATATCGCACGCCATAAAACATATACCACAAGAATTATTATTCAAATTATGACTCCTAATATTTAAGGATTGATTGAGCAATAGAAATAGAATATTCATCAAGAATATGGTGAATTGAAATGTGCTTGGTAAGAGGGATCCTCCATCTGTTTTCCCTGTGCATTTGTTATAAGCCTAGTAGTTTTTTAGAATCTTCTGCTTTATTTGTTATTAAATTTTCTGTATATTGGGATTTCAGTTTTCTTTAACGGAAGGGCTAACAGATGTTACAGATGTTTGTATGGATGAAAATGCTGTCTCAAGTGATCCTGTCATTGCTTTCTTATTGGATGAAGTGGTTGTCAAGGATTGGTGCAAGCGGACATTCAAAAATATTCTTACAGAACTTCAAGGATTCTGTATCCTTACACATAGTAAACATGTTTATATTGTCTATTGCCTTCTATTTATTTGGGTGAATTACGGTGACATCCGTAGAGGTTTTTGACTAAATATTAGATTCCCCCATGGTTTTGGAAATTTGACCAAACACCTCTGTCAGATTTTGTTGACTAACAGCGTTGAAAAAAGAAGAAGAAAGTAAATAAAAATACTTTGTTTCCCTTCACCTTCACCTCAACTCTACTCTGCAACTACTCCCTTTTCTCTCTTTTTCAAAACGATCACCATTTGCAACCATCACTATAAATACATCACCATTAAAACCCAAATCATCATCATCTCTCTCTCTTTCTCTCACAATCAGTGATGGGTTCCCCCCAATATAGAAAACCTATATAATACTTAATAGGGCCGTCTCTGTTTGTCTCTCCCCTTTTTCGTCTATTTTCTCATTCTCTAACCATGGCGATCGGAAAACCTAGAAACAGATCACGGAGACGAAGCCAACCTGTTTGAAGAAAGTCCCAAGTGTGATTGGCTCATTTCCCTCCCTGTGATCTTCACCGTCACTGTCCTCACCTGCCACTGCATGATGCTCCTCATTGCCATTTGCAACATATTAACCAATCTCTTCAATTCATTAGTGATTGCCAATGGAGTTGCAATCATGTGTGCCTGGGTTGTGCCGCAACTGTGGTGGCAACGGCACAAACTGTGTATACAACTGGCTGAAAAAAGAGGGAAAACACAAAAGTTGTGTGGTGGTGGAAGCTGGTAATGGATGAATGGTGGTATACCTGTACATATGTGTATGTATATACAAACCTAGATTGTCCTTTGAAAGCTACATTTGTTAATTAGAATGCCACAATGGTTATACCAATAGAGAGAGAAACTAGAGAATGAAAATGATGGCTGAGGCAATTGGGGTGTGCTGTGGTAAGAAACAGATAGTTACTAATGGAGGCAGCTTTTTGTAATGTGACTATAAACCTCAGTAGGAGGGGGATGTAATTTTTAGAACCCAAGGGTATTAATGTATTTGCCATAAACCTTGGGAGAAGTCAATGTAATTTGTCTTATATATATATATATATATTTCATATCTTCCTGCTTTGTTCCCTTATTTTGGTGATGGTTCTTAACACTTCTTATAGATAGTCATACAGTACAAGAGATGAAAATGCGATTGAGTTCACTTCTTAAGTTTTCAGTGAAGCTGGCTGGCATATCCAATGTTCTGGAAGTTTTGGAATCATCATTTAAGGGTGCTCTTTCTGCACAGCTTCATGATCTGCACCACCTTCAAGAAAGCATATTAAAGACAAAGCAGGTATGATTCTTCAAGTTCTGGATATTTAAACTTATACTATGTTTATTCGAGAATGGGTAGGATTAGTACCGATAGAAGATAAGTTGAGAGATAATAGATTGAGATGGTTTGGTCATATACGACGGAGACCAACAGAGGTAGTAGTGAAGAGATGCGATATAGTGACGGTATATGGTAGCGTTAGGGGAAGGGGTAGACCTAGATTAACGTGGACTAGTGTAGTAAATAGGTGAATCTCCTTAATTTGACTAACAAAATGGCATTGGATAGAGTTGAGTGGAGAAGAAGGATTTATGCAGCCGACCCCATTTGATGGGACTTAAGGTTTGGCTTGGTTTGGTTATATGCTAAGATATTTAAATATCTTTGTTTTGTGAGGGAAATCTTCTTCCAGTGATAGTATTCACCTATGCATGGAAGTGGAACACCAGTGATTTAAAAATTAAGATAATTTGTTGTTTCCTGAATAGCTGTGTTGAGTTTCTTGAAATTTTTGCTAATAGGGTTGCTACCTTTGTGTAAAAAATAATCAATGTATAAAGAGAAAAATACAGAGAGAATAAATGTATCTGATGATCTTATTATTGATTGATCTTTGATGTGTTGTTGTTATAATTGATATTACAAGGATTCCTATTATATAGAAGAGGATTTGGGTAGTAGGTGAGTGTGTGTGGTAGGTGTAGGAAAGTAGGTGAAGTAGGTGAGTGTGTGTGGTAGTGGAGGTGGTAGGTGGAGTGGGTTATGGTAAATTCTAACACTTTGTTTCATTGATGTGTGGCCACATTTTCTTGCACATGCTTTTCTCTGTGTGTTTTAGTTTATTTTCATGTATTTGTTGGCATGGTTTTATTAGGATATTATTTCATTTTTGAATTTGGTTATTGTTCTGAGTCTACTTTGAAAATTTTCAGGTCTAAAGCTCTGTAGAAAATCACTTTGATTTGTTTACATTTTGTTAATTTTTTCTTCATTGTTGTGGGTTTCCAGCATATGGAGATGATGATATGGTGCATAAGGCATCACTTTCTGGAGAATGTCAAGCCTCGCTATACTAATATCACATCATGGCGTGCTGCTGTCCGTGAAAGGAAATCAGCTGCAATTATGCGTTCATGGCCTGATTCAGTAAATAACTCTGCAGGATCCGGTAGAACCAACGGTTCCACACTTTTTATTGAAGATGCACTGTCGAATATTGATATAGATCAGGGATACACACATGAAAGGGCAGGGGAATTAGAAATTGCATCCTTGCAGAAGGATGAAAGCTCATCATTTTTCAGGTCTAAGATAGAGGGGATGGCAGGATGCTACCCATTTGAAAATCTGCGAGCTGCTGCTGATGTACTCTTTTTGCATGGGAGTTCTGATTTGGTGCTTGCAAAGCAAGCAATAGTATCCTTCTCATTATTGTGTCTTGGTGCTTTTGCCGATGGAACATATTTTGTGATTAGTTGAGTATTTTCTTTTGTCTAGGGGTGTAAAATGAACCGAGTTGCTCGAGCAGCTTAATCAATTTTATGCTTGGCTTGGCTTGGCTCATAAACTCTGTCAAGCTCAGTATAAACTGAAATTGTGATCTCATTTATCTAATAAACTGAGCTCGATCAACCTTATGTTCAGCTTGAAAGAGCATGTAAGTCTGCCCTGGATAATAGTGGCTGGTGAGTCACTGATTGAAGAACAGATTTTGGAGAGATTCATCATTGATCTTTTGGTCAGTGAATCACTGATCAAAGAGTGAGCAGCCACAAGGTTTAATTATGTAATGGGATCAATTGATGTAGTGGTTGGTTAACTGCCAAACGGTAAAAGGATGCAAGCCTCACAAGCCACAATCATTACATACACCCATGATTGAATAAAGAGCAAATGATAATTTCACGTTCTTAAAGGCTACCCACCAAAGAATCTATGCTTTTTTGGAATGAAAACAGAAGTCAAGCATTAAAGAACTCCTTGCCTACACATCACCTATATGAGCTTTATCATGTCCATGTTGAATCTGGCTAATGCTACTAGAACAACAGACATGGACTATTTTTAATTTTTCCTGCATTAAATACATGTTACTTGTACCATAGTGTCCCCAAAGTTTTATGTTTATTGACCATCTTGCCATCAGCTTTATATCCAATAATTTTTTTGAATTGGTCTTTATTTACTGTTTTCATTTGAGCTGGGCTGAGCCAAATTCAAACTCATTACTGTGGGACAATCCAAGCTTGATCAAGGCTGACAAAACTTCATCTGAACTCGATTCAAGGTCAATCATAACACCAGCACTGAGTTGATTTTGTATAGCTGAGTGTTTGGCTTGACTTGGCTCATTTCATTCCTACTTCTGTTTCCTTAATTTTATTTCAGTTTCTCTATTACCTGTTTGATCAGCACTGGACAAGGCCTGGAGGGGAATGGAGACACATTATAGACGACTTTGCAGCTACATTTAATATAACCAGGCATTCCTTACTGGAATCTTTTACCTTTTATCTTTTGGATGACTACACTGATGATGCTCTGCAGGTAACTTGTCATGTTTTCTCCAGAAATTTGTTGAGTATGAATACATAATTGTGCTTTTGGTTGAGGCCCTACGTGTAATATTAAGCCTATCCATTTTATGGTATTTCTCCATATCCTCTGGTGCTTAAAAATTCTTACTCTATTTCTTTCATACTGTTCATTATTGATTTTATAATTATAGTAACAAGTGCAATGCTCTAGTAGACGCTAAGTCGGTTAGAATGCAGTTTTAAAGTATCACTGAAGACTTAAATATAGTCAATTAATTGTTTAATGAAACTAATATTTACATGTTGAATTAGAAATAACAAGGTTGATTATTCTGGCTACATCAAACTTTACCTGAGGAAATTGAATTAGCTACTTTTGGTTATATTTCTACTTAGTCTAGAAAGAGGATTTGTTATCTGTCTTATCAGAGCTATGGCCCTTCTTACAAAAGAAATATTTTTGTGTTAGGCCTATTTAGCTCACATTTAAAATGATATTTTCGTATTAGAGCCTGACTTCAGTCCTTGATAGCATGCTGGTGGGTACAAGGTAGACCTCTTTTTGGTCCTTGCAGAGTTATCTGATTCGTTACATTGTTGTGTATGCTAATTGTTCATATGTTGTCTGGTACAGGAAGCTTGTCACCTTCTCCCAGAAATCTCAGGCCCAACAACTCATCCGAAGGTTGCACAAGTTTTGTTGGAAAGACAAAATCCTGATGCTGCTCTTATGGTTCTAAGGTGGTGTGGGCTTGATGGTGGAGCACAGTTGGTTTCACTAGGTGAGGCTGTCACTGCTGTTCAAGTGAGAGTGGAGTGTGGACTTCTGACTGAAGCATTTATGTACCAGAGAACGCTCTGCATGAAAGTTAAGGAAAAGAAGCTGAAGCATGGGCACTTAGACGATCTAAAAGATGAGTGCAGGACCTGGGTGGACTGGATGGAGGCACTGGTTACTGAAATTTGTTGTCTTTGCATCCGGAGAAACTTGGTAGATCGAATGATAGAATTGCCATGGAATTCAGTCGAAGAGAAATATCTCCACAAGAGCCTCTTAGACTTTGCTCTTGATGATCCCTCAACGACAGTTGGAAGTCTTCTTGTGGTTTTTTATCTGCAGGTAACTTCTAAATCTATTCCAAGTTGAAAACGATGTTCTTTCCTATGATTCATGTGATTTTGACGTTGTTTTGCCAACTGTCAGTAGCAGATAACACTGTTAACTCAGATATGATAGTCACGTATGATTATTTTTTTAGGCGTTTTTCTTGTAAATTTGTGGTCTGGGTGGATTCATGACTTTTGAGAGTGAATTGAAACCATTACCTCCTTATGTAACAACAAATATTTGTCACATATATTGCCTACTACTTTCACTGACTTGTCCTATCTTTTTTAACCCATTTCAGCGCTACCGGTATGTTGAGGCATACCAAATTGACCGTAAACTTCAGAGTGTGGAGCAGGACTTCATTTCAAAGAATTCTGTTAGTGAAGAATTCTTATTCAGAATGAGATCAGCGAGTCACTGGAGAGCAGGATTGGTTGTAAGTATTTTGAATTGGTGAAAATTATATTATGCCTACAATTCTGTTTTGAAAATTATATTACGCCTACAATTCAGTTTTGAAAATTATATTATGCCTTACCCTCAAATGAACAGCTTTCTACTCACCCTTGATTTCTGATGGAAAAGAAACTACTTTCTTTACTCTGTTGTCTGTTTGGGGACTGTTGGTTTGTATTCCAAATAAGTTCTGTGTTGTGGCTGTGAATCACTTTATGCAGAATTGAGAATTCATGCATGATATGTTTTTGATGGACTTCAACTTTGTATGCTTGTTATTTCTATTTATGATCAAGGTCTTTGCATCTCAACTTGTGAAAAGTAAAGTATGAAGTGACCATCTTAAGCTAAATTCAGCTAGTTATCCTCATGTAGCAAGCTAAGTACAATCTTTGCTAAGTTCTCCCATAATCAAAATGTAGAAATTTAATGTATAAAGAGAAATAGAGAATTGTATTATTGATTGATTTATATTGATATATTTATTACAATGATTCATGATTCCTATATATAGAAGAGGGTGAGTGTGTAGTAGGTAAGGAGTAGGTGAAGTGGAGGTGGTAGTGGTGTAGTGGGTTAGGTTTAGTGGAGTAGGTGAGGTGGTAGTGGTGTAGTGGGTTAGGTTTAGTGGAGTAGGTTTAAGTGGGTGAAGTAGGTGATAGGTTTTAACACAAAATATATTGAGATTGGCAGTAAATGTCTGGCAAACATGCTTTTCTGTGTGTTGGTTTTTTGGTGGGGTAGGGGGCTATATTGTATGGAATGTGTTTCTTGCAATTCTATACTTTCTGCATCTGTCAATCAACATAATCGTTACTTTTTGATGAACTGAGACAAGCACAGAGACTAATGATTGAGAGTGAGAAATTCAGGAGTCACATTATAGAGGATTACGTGCCTATGTGGTAGTGCTTACTATTGATTATAACAAATACAATTTTTGAAGAAAAGTAAAGTTTATGCTTTTATTTTTGCCAATCAAAAAATAAAGTTTATTCTTGTGTTCTTTTTTAATAGGAAAAGAGCATAGAGTTGCTGCCAGAAGTTCAACAAGAAGAAGCAAAGACTGGAAAATTGCCTGAAATTGCTGTTTCTCCTGTTAATGATACTGGAATTCCTGCAAGGTCTGATCCTGCGAATTTCCAGGAACCAAATTCAACGAGTTTATTGGTTCCTGCCTCTATTGATTCTTCCCTTCTTTTTCGGATGGAGAAAGCAATCCCTTCCTCGAAACATTCAGTTCTTGAAACTCCATCAAAACTTGGTGGATTTTCCAACATTTCCCATTTTGAACTCGGGAACCATGGTACTCCCTCCATTCTGCAAGGGAGTTTCTTTACCAATGCAGAAAGAGTCCTGAAGCCTCAAGGCGGTGCTAGCAAGAAGTTCAAATTTGAAGACACCCGTACCCCTGGTATTCGTCACGTTAGTGCAATGATGGTAACCCCACTAAAAGAGTTCAACAGGAGTTCATCAAGACTGCCTCAGAATAGAACCTTCCAAGATCATCAATTTGATGAAGTGTCACCAGAAAAAGAAGAAAATGGGTTCACACACAGACTTCAAAATACCAGGCCGTCTTCCCTTGCAGCATCTGGTAAACGGGTCCCATCAGATGGACCTTATAGACCTTTGAAGGCAGTCCCCTCAGATGATCCAATGGGCATGTCTTGGAGGTAAAATATTTGTCCCCCTTTTCTTCCTGACCTTTGGAAATCGGTATTTTATCTGTTATTAGTAATTTAATTTTCACTTTTTTAATATTGCACTTGTAAATTTTTAGCCATGGAGAGAAGGGTTCTGTGGAGGATGGAGATGGAAATGGAAATGGTGGACCAAGATGGAGGTCTGATGACACCAGCGAAGATGAACTGCAGAGTCCAGATAGACTCACAGGACCGACTTCTTATTCTACAGCTATGAGGGGAGTAAGAAGAAGCAGGTTAGCCAGAAGATGATGAACTGTGTTCATGTTGTGACCTTAACAAAGATAGACTTGGCCTTCTGTGATACCTCCGATTGCGTAACGTGGGAGATCAATGAGAATAGCGTGCTAGTTTCAGATTTTACCAGTTGGGGAGAAGTGAGAGGGGTGGCTCAAGGAGCTGAGTTTTACAGAGGATGAAGGCTAGGTTTAATTGGCCATTTCCTTGTTTTCTATTTGTAGTGTCGGTAAAAGTTTTACTGAAAATACTATCCTATGTAGAGTCGGAGAAATTTTTGGTAGTGTCGGTAAAAGTTTTACTGAAAATACTATCCTATGTAGAGTCGGAGAAATTTTTGTGTTTTATTTTGAAGTAAAATTCATGGCTCTTGCCATTTTAAGTTTTAAAAATTTTTCCATTCCCCCCCCCCCCCCCCCCTCTCTTTCATGTTGTGCAAGTGCATTGTGCATCTTATATAGAAATTGAAAATGAAGATTATGTAGTTCAAACTTCCAAAATAATTACTTAAAATGCCAGTTTGGGGTGCAATTGTAGTTGCCTTGGCTCATGGTTATGTTAATTGAGAAGTCACTGTTCACTTCTAATTTGGTTTCCATGGAAAATAGTGAGAATAAGAAAATATATTGGAGGTATGTGAGATTTTTTTAGTCCTAGATATCATTTCTCTTTTGACAATCATTTCATAATTTTTTTCTTTTTGGATCTAATGTTTTTAAAATTAGAAGGGAAAACAAGAAAGAAAACAATTTTTCTTTTCATTTTATGAATGCCAAGTTTTGTATATTGGAACCGGGATTATTTTACATAGGAAAAAGAAAGAAAAGAAAAAAAGTAAAAGAAGAAAATGCAGACATTTTTAAAAAATTCATCATACCTAGAAAAATAAATGTCTAAATAATTTAGGGTAAATTACAAATATACTTTTTGAGGTTTGCTTACAGTACAGATTGTCCTCTGTAATTTGAAAAATTACAAATACCTCCTTATTAGTATTTTTTATGTAACAGAATTAACTAAAAAAATGAAATTCATAATTGCTCTCCTATTACCTAAATTATTAATTGAAACATATTTCTAACGTCATTAAAAATTGTTAATTGACTTGATGATTTATTAATAAAATGAGCGATTTGTTATGAAATTAAAAATCTCAGGAGGTAGAATATAATTTTCAAAATCACAGGGGGCGATTTGTATTTTAATCAAACTATAGGGGGTGTATTTATAATTTACCCAATAATTTAATTTTTTTAAATGAATAAATATGGATTAATAAGGTCTTTTGATACCATTTATCTGGTTAAGCTTTTGAATGATATATTTTTCAATCTAGGGACAAAACACATGCAATCGGGGACACTATCGTAATTTCAGTATATTTTGAATTTCAAGAGAGAAAAATACGAACGTGGTGTGATGGCTATTACCACTAACCGTTTTAACCGCCACTTTCAAATGAACACACACAAGTCAAAATGAAAAAAAAAAAAAAAAAAACTCAAAAAGAATCAAACCTGAACACTACTCGGACCCATAACTTGAAAAGAATCAGAAATCAAAAACCCAGAACCAATCTCATTCGGGTAATTTACAAAGAAATTGTTTTATGGAAAGACACAGAGATGAACAAGTGATCAAAAAAGGGCCATGGATCGCCGAAGAAGACGAAGTACTCATGAATTTTGTGAACAAGTATGGTCCCAAAGATTGGAGCACCATTCGATCCATGGGTCTCTTGCCCCGAACTGGCAAATCTTGTCGCCTCCGATGGGTCAACAAGCTTAGACCCAATCTCAAAATGTAACATCTTCAACTTTTTCTTTCCCTTCCATTTTGAAATTTAAAAAAAAAAAAAAGGGCCCTTCAATTTTATGTTTTTTTGTTGTTGTAATATGTAGCTAATGGATTGTTAATTATATATAAAAAAAAAATAGTGGGTGCAAGTTTTCGGCAGAGGAGGAGAGGGTGGTGATAGACTTGCAAGCAAGATTTGGGAACAAATGGGCGACAATCGCGTCGTATTTGCCTGGAAGGACAGACAATGATGTCAAGAACTTTTGGAGTACTAGGCAGAAGAGGTTGGCAAGAATTCTGCATTCACCGTCATCGCCTCTAACGAGCACCTTGGAGAAAATTAAAGGAAAATCTCATGCTCTTGTTCATGAGATGCCAACTCCAAAGGTAACAAAATCGACAATATCTAAATCATTTTTGGGTTTTTTGCTTGAAAAATTTGTTTGATTTAATCGTGTTGTATTTAAATGCTTAAATTTTATGCATATATAATCTGGTTTGTTCACTGGTCATGATTTCTTTTTTTTTGGTTCTTCAATTTGCAAATTATTAGTCATTTTTTCACATTTTTTTTTGACAATTTAATCTATTTAAGTGATCGTGGGTGGTTTATTTTGGCTTTTGTGTGTGTGTGTGTGTGTGTGTGTGTGTGTGTGTTTAAATGCATGTTATGGATTGATACTGACATTATCCTTAATTCTATGGGAAGTTTTTTCTTTATTTTGAGAAACACTTCCAAAAATTCTACTTTGTGAAACAGAACTAAATTTTGCTTTACACTTACCATGGACTACTGTTTTGAAAACTTGAAAGTTCATGTTCTTTTGTATAATTAGATTCTAAGCATCACTGAAAGCATGAAGTTAGTTGATAATATCATCGTTTTGAGATAGGTCAACAGATGTTAGGCGATTTCATATCCAATTTGTTTGATTGCGTTTTCATTTTCAGTAAACACACACAATTTGTTTAACGAACTTATTTTCAAATTTTTTTTCTAATGTGACCGATTTTAGGAAACACCAAAATTTTATTTTCAAATTTTAAAAACTATTTTTGCACAAAAAAGAAAATTTGAAAAGGATCGGTATTTTAAACTTTTCATTATTTTTTCTCTAAAAATATGAAAAATAAAAATAAAAACTAACCAAACAAGTTTCCCACAAATTTGGTGAGCTTTGGAAGAATGAAAGCATTATGTAAATTTTTTATTTTAAAAAAAATGGAAAATTTGCTTGAGATGAGAACTATAATACGATGTGTTAAAATGATTAATTATTAATTAAAAGTTGGCACTTCATGGAGTAAGGAGAGAGAAAATAGAGAGATAAAAAATTCTGTATAATTATAATTACTAATTAAAAGAACAACTCATAGGGAAAGTCTGAAAAGAACAAAATGTACAAGAGCCTCACTTGTTCTCATTTGTTATCTTTTGAGTTTCCCAATTTTCAATTTGTAAAGCTACTATGTTCAATCATAGTTTTTCCCAATTATCCCCATGTTTTCTTATAGTAAGCATGTGTCTTATATATCAGGCACCAGAGTTCAATACCCCCCAAATGAAAGAAGCATCATCATCTTCAAAATGTCAATCTTGCCCCTCTTCTTCCATGGGAAACTCTGAAATATTGCAGATAATGTCACTACCCAATTTCATGATGACCCCAAACTCGATCAATCTAGACTCAACAACCATGCCCTTGCTTGACACCATAGAGACTGACCATCACAACAAGTCCTCAACTCAAACCCCTCTCCAACACTCCTTCATCCACCTCCCATTCTTGCCCGAAAGCCACGACGCCGTCTTGGGCCTCAGTGAATCCAACTTTCTTGATGTGTTCGCGAGCACTCGACAAGCTGTTGAACTTGAAAATGTGTCACAGATCAACTTTGGCTCACCATTCCTTGAATTGGATGGCACGGGGAGGAACGATGGAAGAGCTGATAGTTTCTTTGATGAATTGCCGGCTGACATGTTTGATTACCTCTAGCCAATTCCAAGCTCATTGAAGCTTTGAATCGCTGTTAGGAGATGAGAAGTTTATGTGTTTGATATGTGTATTGAACATGGTAGTGACAATGTCTTCTGGATATTTTGTGTTGCATATGTTTTACTACATGGTGCACTAGTTAGTGGTTTAATATTAGCTAGGCATGAATGCATTTTCATATTGTGGTATGACTGAGACTTCTTTGTAGTATATTATTACTATTTCAGTTCTTCTACATGCACAAAATTTAATCATAGAATTAGACATTTATACTTACAATTGTGTCTCATTTTGTGATCGGACTCTTTTTACAAAGATTTTTTTTTTTTATTACTATTTAGCTTATACTACAACTACTTGTGTGTTATCGAACATTAAAGGTGATTTTTTTGGAGTTAAAATAGCTATTTCAATCATTCTGTGAAGTTGAAATGGAGAGATGCATCATTAAAAATTTATTAAGGCTTGCATGTCCAATTTTTTCTTGTTCAATTTTTAAGAGTAAAAAATTTTGATAATTATTTTAAACAAGTTTAATAAAGACCAAGAAAATAAAAATCAACAAAAAAAAAAATGGCTAAAGTAAACAACTACCAAAAAGCCACTTATACACAATGCATCAATGAGTCCAATGCAAATGAAATTGTAGTGTGAAAGTTTCTTTTAAATTGCCCCCATCATTGTCTATAGTGAAGTCTTTCCAAAAACTACTACTAAATAAGTTTAGCTAATTAGAAGGTAAATTTCTCCAACAAATTATAGAATATTCATACAAAAATGAAAACAAATATTAACAAGTGACTTGAGCCAATGATTAATTCAAGATTGGAATAAAAGTAGGTTGGAAATAGAAAATAAAATAAAAAGATTTAAAAATTTTCAAAAAATAATGAAATAATCTATCCTTATTATTATTATTTTTATTTTTTCCTTGTGTTGAAATGAAATTTTATTAGCAACACTCAAAATAAATTACATATTCATATATTATTCTCATTCATAATTCAAAAAATATTATAGCCTAATAGAATAATAATATTGTATTATTGCGTTGAGGTCTTGAAAAATATTTGAATTTACGTGAAGGCAATCAAAAAGTTGAGTCAATTTCAACTCTATATAGACTCAATTTTAATTTTAGTTCATATGATTTTAAATCAAATAATTTGGTTCTTACACTCAAAATTCAATTTCAATTTGATTATTTTGTCTAAATTTTTATTAATTTTATGTATGTATATACCTAACAAAATTGACAACCATTTTAGTAATACTATACAAATAAAATGAAATTGTATCAAATTATTTTGGGAAAAATTGTAATTAACTCAAAAATGAATTTTGAGAAAGCTCTGGTCTAGTCCTACGAAGTCAATATATGAGCTGGCTGGGTTTCTAAGAAGGAAAATTTTAATATACACACTTCTATGTCCTTTAATTATATTTTTTTTTAAAAAAAATTTAAGTTTTAAATTTTTTTTTTTTTGTAATGACATTATTTTAGTTATAATCGATGAATTTTTTAATTATTTTAAGTTATGACATTTTTTTAACTTATAATTTAAAAAAATTAATATTATGCCATATTTTTATTTTTAATTAAAAGCTCCATAAGTGTTTCCTCTAAAAACATCTCCAACTCATATTCTTTTTTATTTTATTTTATTTTATCAAATTTAAGTAAAAATTTGAATAAAAACTTCATCTAATACTTAGTATTACCAAATTACACCTAAACGTTCCAATGAAATTTCTATATTTTTTATCAAATTATCGACCAAATAGATGTCCGGCCAATCGACTGGTTTTATATAAATAAACTAGAACCATATCCTTAATTTGTTGGAGATATTTCAATTTGATGAAAAGTAAAAAATAATCATCGATTTGATATGGGTATAATGTCAAGATTGGCAACTTGACTTATTTCATTGGAAAACAAATTTGATATGGGTATGATGTCATGATTGGTAACTTGACTTATTTCATTGGTAAATGTTAGTGGTTATTTGGGATGATCTAAATAAGTGTACTTTTTGTCTTTTTACGAAAAGATGTGCAGAAAAATAGAGAAATAATATAATGAAAAAAAGATAAAAAGATGAATTATTTTTGATATTGTCAAACTTGACCTTAGTAATATAATATAGTGCCTACTGTTAGTAATATAATATAGTGCATAAATATATTGCAACTTTCGATTAATATAATATGTAATACAGTGCATTGCTTTTGCATTGTTTTCGGCTCTTTTGATCACGAGCCATCATTGTCCATTATGGGTATATGGGTATAATGTCAAGATTGGCAACTTGACTTATTTCATTGGAAAACAAGAATACATGTTGTAGATGGTCTAAGACAGACTGTATCAAATTCGATTTGAATACTAATTTGCAGGGGAAGAAATGGCGAAAGCTCTACAACTTCCCATCATAGACCTCGCTTCTCTTGATCGAATCTCCACTGCCAATTCCATCCGTCAGGTCTCTTCTTCTTCTTCTTCTTCTTCTTCTTCTTCTTCTTCACACCTTATCACTGCATATATATATATATATATACAAATCTGTATTTGCATATTTGCCTTATATATCAGCTTTATTTTATCATCAATAGAATATTTTCAAGAATTACGTTTATCTTCATCAGGTGTGTGTTTTTGTTTTTAATTAATTTAATTTAATTTTTTTTCAAATTTGGTATATTATATATGCAAATCAAGACAAAAGTACCCACAAATTAAAATCAAGTTACATGTTTGTGCATTTAGGGCGTGTTTGGACATCCCATTGGACTTGAATGTTTACATAGTTATATTTCAGCTTAGAAAAGCAGCAGTGTTATAGTGGACAAGTGATATAGTGTCATTTGGGAAGTCATTTGCTTAACTAGACGGTGTGTATTGAAAATCAACTAGTTACATACTGAGGTAATTGCATAAGGGCAGTTTGGGAATGGTAAAATGGGTGACAGTGTTCACACCAACTTGGGTGCTAGCATTATATAATAGAATAGATAAACTCATTAATTATATGCAATGTTACTTTACGATGTTAAAAGCTATGAATGGTGCAGTGATACTATTAAATTTCTTGGGTTATCCAAACAACTCCTTATTTTGTAACATGGGGAAAAGAAAAGGGAAGGGAAATTTGAATTAAGCTTCTTTTTTTTTATTTTTTTTTCCCCTCCACATTTTCTTTCCTTTTTTATTTTTTCTCCACAAACACAGCCTAAAGAATTCTTTCTGATAAGCATATGGTTGTTAATTGTTAAGGTAAGCCAATTAACTGGAAAGCTTATAAACTGTTAGAAATGGGCCAGTAATGATAATATTAATTTGGTTTGTTTTTTAGAATGATTCATCATGTTGTTCCCAAATTCATTAGTATTCGGATGTGTGGTGTAGGCATGCATAGAATGTGGTTTCTTTTACCTCATAAACCATGGGGTAGAGCAGGAGTTGCTTAAGCAAGTGTTTGATGAGAGCAAAAGATTCTTCTCACTCCCCCTTGAAGAGAAGATGAAATTGCTTCACAGAGAAACAAGAGGTTATACGCCACTGTATGCCGAGAATCTCAACCCTTCTTCAAGTTCTAAAGGTTTTACTGTTCTCTCACTTTTGACAAATTTTGTGATGCTTTCAAATTGTATATAAAGTGGGAAATGTGCCGATGTAAGCTAAAATTTTCAGATTAAAAAAATAAATTCAGAAAAGTGTATCAGTTTAGTATCGAGATTGAGTATGTTGAAAATTTGAATGAATGCTGTCAAATTTTGGTGGAAGCATAAACTGACAAATAATAGCAAGTTTGACAATGATTTTACAAAGATTTTGTGATTCAGTCTAAATAGGACGTGGTCCTAAAGATAACTTTTTTCCAATTCATGAATTTAAAGCCAGGGTTGAAACTCATTGATTGATGGTATGATTGATATTAGATGGAGAAACTCTAATAGGTTCTCTTCTTGTAGCGATCTTAATTTTTTTGTAAGTCTTTAGTTATTTATTTATTATTATTATGATTTTATTTTATTATTGGTTTTATTAATGGTGTGGTTACATGAAAATTTAATGTGTTATTCTGTTAATTTAATGTGATATTTAATTAGTTTAATATGATATTTAGTTAATTTAATGTGTTGTTCAATTCATTTAATGTGATAGTTAATTATATATAATTAATTCAAATATTTATATTTATGTATATAAAAAAAAGGGTGTGACATGTATTGATGTTATAAAATATATTTATATATTTTGTAGTTAGTTAATAAAATAATATATATATATATATATCATATTATTTATATGGTATTTGTTGTATATAATATAATAGCATTAGTTTCTATTAGGTTAGAATCAAAACAAAACAAAAAAACAGAAAAAGAAAAACAGAGGCAGCCGCATAGGAGAGCAGCCACGTGAGAGGGAGAGAGAGAGAGAGAGAGAGACACGGCAGGGGAGAGCATCAGTGGAGTGGAGAAAAGAAAGAAAAAAAAAAGAAAAAAAGAAAAAAAAAAAAAAAAAAAAAAAGAAAAGAAAAAGAAAAAAGCAAAAAAAAAAAAAGAAATAGAAAATGAAAAGAAGCTCAAGATTTTTGGATGATTAATTGATTGTAATAATTTTAATTAGTTGGGTATGTAAGGTTTGGGATTTTTTTTAGATGATTGATTAATTTTAATTATGTTGATTAGATGTATATTTAAGGTTTAAGATTTTTGGATGATTAATTGATTGTAATAATTTTAATTAGTTGGGTATGTAAGGTTTGGGATTTTTTTTAGATGATTGATTAATTTTAATTATGTTGATTAGATGTATATGTAGTGTTTAAGATTTTTAGATAATTAATTGATTGTAATTATTTTAATTAGTTGGATATGTAAGGTTTAGAATTTTTAAACGATTGACTAATTTTTAATTATTTACATTAGACGTGTATATAAGGTTTAGAGTTTTTTTTTGGATGATTGATTGATTTTAATTATTTGCATTAGTTGGGTATGCAAGGTTTAGGGTTTTATTTTGGGTGACTTTATTAATTTTTTGAGTGATTCTTTGATCTTCAAAAATAATTGTGAGTACAAACTCCACTTCCCTTGATTTATGTTTAATTCATTGTTTTCATTTATTTATTTATTTTTATTTATTTGATGTTAGTTTGATTTTGTTTTTACATAAAGATGATAGATTAATTTTAATTATTTTGATTAAATATAAGATTTAGGGTTTATAGATGATAGATTAATTTTAATTATTTTGATTAGTTGTGCATATAAGATTTAGGGTTTATAGATGATAGATTAATTTTAATTATTTTGATTAGTTTAGTTTGATTTTGTTTTTACATAAAGATGATAGATTAATTTTAATTATTTTGATTAAATATAAGATTTAGGGTTTATAGATGATAGATTGATTTTAATTATTTTGACTAGTAGTATATGTAAAGTTTAGGGTTCTTAAATAAGTGATTGATTTTAATTACTTTGATTAGTTGTGTAGGTAAACTTTAGGGTTTTTAGATGATTGATTAATTTTAATTACTTTGATTAGTTGTGTAGGTAAACTTTAGGGTTTTTAGATGATTGATTAATTTTAATTACTTTGATTAGTTGTGTAGGTAAACTTTAGGGTTTTTAGATGATTGATTAATTTTAATTACTTTGATTAGTTGTGTAGGTAAAGTTTAAGATTTTTAGATGATTGATTAAATTAATTATTTTGTTTAGTTTGTATGTAAGGTTCAAGGTTTTTAGATGATTGATTGATTTTAATTGTTTTAATTAGTTGTATATGCAAGATTTAGGGTTTTTATATGGATTGATTTTATGATTGTAATCACACTCATGATTATATAAAATTAAAATAAACTTAGAATCCATAGATATTGGTTAGAGAATGGATTGATTCGTTATTTTTTTATTTATTTATTTTTATTTGATGTTGAATTGATTTTGTATTTGCATGTAGATGATGGATTGATTTTTAATTATTTTGATTAGTTGTATATGCCATGTTTAGGATTTTTATATGGATTTATTTTATGGTTGTAATTACACTCATGGTCATATGAAATTAAAATTAATTAAGAACCTATAGATAAATTCCTTATACTCCACCATGACTCCATGGATTGTTGTTTTATTTGAGTGATGGTGAGAAAGAGTCTATAAAAAAAAAGTGAGGATTATGTGAATGCCTTAAGCGCGGCATTGTTATGTTTATTCTCATGTGTGAGATGTTGTGTATATATATATTATTGCCTCGTTCTCATGAGTAGACAAGTGCTTTGATTTGCGCGCGTACGCATATGCTAACCATCCGGGGAGTGTGAGTCAAACTCGGGACGATATCCCCATGCAAGTTTGGCTTCGGAGCGGTGTTAGGTATACAGGAGGCACATGGGATATATGTGTAGGCCGGAAGGGGAGGGCCGAAGTGGTGGAGTTAAGGTACAAAGAATTTAATTATGAATTTATTAGTATAGTGTGTATGGTATTGGTATGTACATGATAAAAAACTAGTAAACGATCTTGATAAATTATGAAATTTGAGCAGAAGCGTGTATTCGTGATTTTGGACAACTTTTGTGTTGTACCTTTTTATTAAAAAGATCGATTAGAACTTATAATCAGATGACCTTGGCTATTGTCGGTTTGATTCACTCTGGTGGACACGTGGGTGTCAATTCTTGTACTCATACCAGTATACCTGTATATTGACCCGTTTTGTCTCTTGACAACTCGGGTGCGTTCTGTTGGAGCGCAGCTGAGCTTCCTTTGCAGGATTAGTAGAGGCGTTGGTGGTGACAAGAAATAACCGTGATCGTAGGACATGTCGTTTGGAGTTCTTTTATTTTTTTTTTGAGCTTAGGGTTGATACTAATTTATGTAATTATTATTTTTTTTAATGACCTTAGTATTTTGAAAATTTGGCATAGGTCGTAACCTTACATTATTTAAGTTGTTTTGAAGTATTTATTGTTACTTTAACGTTAGAAGTATTAGATAGTTATGAATTTATGGTGGATGGTTTGGTTGGCGTTTTAGTTTTTTTGTTTCACCCTTAGGATTTGAATGATGGAATATTAATTGGGGTTTAGTCCTAATTTAATATATAATTGTCCAAATTTTGGGGCGTGACACTTCTCATTAATGCATATTTCATTGGTGTAATGGAGAAAGAACTTAGGGTTGACTGTCTTCTACTGATTGGAGTACAGGTGACTCAAAAGAGAGTTTCTATATTGGTCCTCTGGAAAGCATTTCAAGTCATAGTAATCTGAATCAATGGCCTTCAGAAGGTATTTTAATAATTTTGTGTGCTTTCACTTGTTTATGTTCTCTTAACATGTTCTCATATAACAATTTCATTTCTCCTACATTTTGTAATCTGTCATTTAGCACACATGTTGTACAATGGGTACATGATTCCTGAGGTGATAACATTATTTCTGGTGTTGTCTGGCTAGGAAATTCCAGAAGTTTTGCCATCTTGGAGACCTACTATTGAATCTTACTATGAAAGAGTCCTGTAAGTTTTCCCCATTGTTTATTCTTGTGTCACACTCTGAAAAGAAAGTAGAAAGTGATCAGAAATCATAGTAGATCTATTCACTTAAACTATGCCTGCCTAGTAAGTTCATTTTCTTCAATCAACGTTAATTTCTTCATACAAAATCAGAAGTTTTGCTCATGTTAATTCTATGACTTTCTTAAGCATTTACATGATTTTGAAAAACTTGTGTCTTTTTAACTAATTTTTGGGGCCTGAGATGTGATACTTAATGCTTGGAATAGTTTAGATGACTTTTATATAAAGATGCCTTAGTAAAAAGTGGTGCAGCAGTTTTGATTGATCAAATAGCTCATAATTCCTTATGTTGATAAGAACAAGGCTGTGTGTGACTTTTGGCTGGTGTTGATTTTTGCTGCCTCAGGACTGCTGGAAAAAAGTTGATCTCTTTAATTGCTCTGGCTTTAAACTTGGATGAAGACTTCTTTGAGAAAGTTGGGGCTTTCAATCCACCAATGCCATTTCTTCGTCTTCTACACTATCCTGGTTGAATCAAAATTTGGCTTTATCTGCTTTGTCTGTATAGTCTTTCTTTTAAAGTGTTTTGTATAGTCGTTGTTGTACTTACTAATTCGTAATTGATTGAATTAGAGAATTGAGATCTGATGAGCTGATAGAAAGTCCTCTTTTTGGTTTTGTACATTGTTTAGGTATGTACATTACAAGCCATTTTCTTCAACCCTTTCATTGAAGATGGGTTGGCTTGTTTGTGTCTATTTGTTTATTTTTTTATTTTTGTATATTTTAGGGATTTGTTCAATGGCCATGCCTCCAAAGATTTAGGGTGTACAGATGACTCTGCATACTCTTTCATGTTGTTTTGATTAAATTAAATAAATAGAATATCCTCTTCCACTTTTCATTTCATTTTCTTGTTTCATGTATTTTCTCTGCATTTTCCCCTTTTCAATTCATTTTCTTGTTTCTAGTATTTTCTCTTTGCTTGGTGGTAGATTTCCGTGATATTGCTTCGTAATGTTCTCTGCATGAATTGGATAATCAATCTCACATTTTGAGCTGTAAGAGAGTGCAAAAATTTTGAAGAGTAATGGGAGTTCTCAAAATCTTAAGAGCATCTCCAATGGTAGTAGGCATTTTACCTATCTAAACATTGCTATAAAGTATATATTTTATTTTGCCTATCAACTTTTTCATGTTTTTACGCCAACAATGCTCTTTATTTTAGTTATTCATCCAAATATTATTAATTGTATAGAATGCCACGTCAGCAACAAAGATGGAGGGAAATGATCTTAATGATTAAATGCATTTTGCCTAGCGTTGAAGGCTAGCTACATGTAGCTAGTGAATATGACTTGAGCCAAAATGCTTAATCATATGCCTAGTGCATTGGAATTAAAAAAAGTGAATCACACTAGGCATTTTAACTAACAAGTATTATATGCCTAGTGCATTGGAGATGCTCTAAAAGAGACTTCATTTTCACTTCTCATAAGTTTATGTATATTGGACCATAAAATTTTAAAAGTGATGCAATTGGAAAAAACTATAAGACTACATATAAAATAAAATAAAAAATTATAAAAATAAGTTTAATATAATTTCATACCAACTAAATATACAGTATTTGTTAAAAAAAAAAAAAACTAAATATATTGTATTCCCTGTTTATTGTAAAGTTTTTTAAGATGTGGTTACCAATGATTTGTTTTAATAGGAAAACATATTAAAATTTGAAGAGCAATCCTTACACAAATTTTATAGGGAGTGCAATTTTAAATTTTTTGATGGTGATTAAATTTCAAAAGTCATTACTACATGAGATACAATTTTTTCTTTTTTTTTTTTGTTTGTTTGTTTGTTTTTTTTTTTTTTTTTTTTTTTTTTTTTTTTTTTTTTTTTTTTTTTTTTTTTTTTTGGGATGTAAAAGTGTGATCGGGGTTGATCCCCTGATATGAATAAAATGACAAGATTGTGAAAAGTTGGTGGTGTTATTTTGTTTAATAAGAAAAATAAAATAAAAGAAAGCAATTGATAAAGAAAATAGAGAAAAATAGTTGTGGATGGGTGATAAGAAAACCAGCAGTGTGATTTTTTTTTTTTTTTTTTTTTTTTTTTTTTTTTTTTTTTATTTTTTTTTTTTTTTTTTTTTTTTTTTTTTATTTTTTTTTATTTTATTTATTTTTTATTATTATTATTTTTTTTTGTGGAATATAAAAAAAATAATAATAAGAGAATGGAAAAAACGGGGATGCTCACTAACCAGGAGAGGGAAAAATATATTATAATAAAAATATATATATATATATATATATTAAAATAAATGGAAAAGGTGAAAGAACGTGGGTTTGCTTGAGTGGTGTCTGGTCTTGAAGTATGGTATGTATATATATAATATATATGAAACTTCGAAGAGAGAGAGAGGGAATATAGAATTAAAGTGGGTGATGGAAACAATGATGGTGGGGGACAAAAAGAGAGAGAGAGAGGGAATATACCAGATAGAGAGAGAGGGATAGTGGGTCTGTTTGTGAGTCCGTCCCTCCCCCATACGCACATGCGCACCACCTTAAAAAACAGCAGAATCAAGACCAGCATGGTTGATGATTTCGGACTCACTCATCTTAAGAGCTTGAGGCATCCAGTGGAGGAAGGTAATGTAAGTCCAGCAATTGAGATTAACAAACTTTCCCACAAAGTTCCGGTGCTTGGGACTGGTTCTGCCCCCACTAATGTACAACTTGGGAAAGTAAACTCTGTCATTGATGGGTTGAATCCGAAGAAGAGCAAAGGCCAACAAGAAGGCAAAAGTACCGAGTATGTTGATGAATGCAGAGACCCCAATATCCTCAAGAGTTGCCATAGACAAACAAAGCAGAGAAGAGTGTTCCTCATTTAATAGTTTCTCAAAATAATTCTTCCATCTTTCCTTAATCTCATCGTCCTTCACTAATACCTTAGAATCCTCACTCTTGATGCACTTTACTTGATTAAAATCTCTTGTTTTCCTCTCCCGTATCTTAGCAAGTTTGTATACCCTCTTCTCTCCCTCCTTACTATCTAGTTTAGTGTATAGGTCATCATAAACTTTCAACTTAATCTCTCTCACTACTTTCTTAACCTCCTTATTAGCCAATCTATAGCTCTTAAGGTTTTCCTCAATTCTATCCTTCTGCCACTTTTTAAAGCACTATTTTTTTGCCTTAACTACCGCTTGGACCTCTTCCCTCCACCACCAAGTTCCCTAGAGCTGGGTCCCGTTCCTTTCGACTCTCCAAGCACTTCCCTTGAGATTCTCCTCATACAATTGGCCATCGAATTCCATATAGTGTTAGCCCCACCTTCTAAGTCCCAAGTACCTTCCTTATCCATTCGATTATTAAATATTTCTAGTTTATCCCCTTTTAAGTCCCACCATCTCGTCCTACGACGCCCACCATCCTTCCTAGCTTGGTATTGCCCTCTAAAACATAAATCTAGTATCAAAATCCTATGTTGAGAGACCAGACTCTCTCCAGGAATCACCTTACAATCATTGCATTTTAGGCAGTCTACTTTTCTCATTAAGAAATAATCTATTTGGCTCTTAACTAATCCACTCTTAAAGGTTATCAAATGCTCATCCCTCTTCTTATACATAGTATTAGCCACCACCAAGTCAGAAGCCAACGCAAAATCTAAGATTCTCTCTCCAGCCTCATTTCTGTCACCAAAACCGTATCCACCATGCACCCTTTCATAACCTACTTTATCTATGCCCACATGGCCATTAAAATCTCCACCTATAACCAGGTTCTCTCCTACGGGTATCTCCTGTATGATCTCATCCATTTGCTCCCAAAAATTCCTCTTAGTCTGATCATCTAACCCTACTTGAGGGGCGTAAGCGCTAATAATATTCACTATATTCCCTCTAATAACTAATCTAACTATCATAATCCTATCTCCTTTCCTAATGACCGCCACCACACTTTCCACAAGACCCTTGGCAATTATGATTCCTACCCCATTCCTGCGTCTATCCTTACCACTATAATAAAATTTAAAACCAGTATCCTCAATTTCCCTAGCTTTCTCTCCCGTCCACTTAGTTTCTTGTATGCAAGCTATACTAACTCTCCTCCTAATCATAACATCTACTAATTCCATCGTCCTACCAGTTAAGGTTCCTATGTTCCAAGTGGCTATCCTAAACCTATAGTCTTGGACTAGCTTCTTTACCCGCGCTCGTCCAGAAAAACGCGGAAACCTTTGCCCATTTTTCACCGCACCCAGGCGTCGGTGCGGCGCCCCTTGCTCACTTTTCGAAACACCCGGAGGCAGGCGCAACGCGTCACTTGAGGGGAACGACCTAGCATTTAATAAAAAATATTATTAATTACCATAAGACTTATTAGATAATAAATTAATCTATTAAGAAGTACACATAAGTCCTCTTTAAGTTATAAGTAGAAGGTAAGTTAAATAATTTAACACAAGTTTTTAAGAATATTTAAGATGCATCAAACAGTCTCATTGTAAAATCGTTATGAAAAATCATTTTGGTTCCTTTTGGTTTAGTTTTTGAAAAAAAAAGTGATTAATTAATTTATTAATAAAATAAATAATAAAAAAAAGGGAAGAAAAGAGGAGACTGAATTTTTTTAAAAAAAATTGATAAATCAAACTTGTTTTTTGACTTTTTGATCTAAATATTTATTTAAAAACTACATCAAATAGTACCTTTGATTATTTTTTTTTAATTAGATTTCCTCTATGGGTTAGTAGTGATTTTTTAGTATTGTGAGATTATTTAAAATGATTTAAATAAATATATTTTTTTGACTTTATATAAACGTGAAATATAATTGAAAGTACTATAACTTAAATAAGATAAAATAATATACTAAATTAGTACCTCCCAAATAAATCCTGTATTTAAATATTTATTTATTTTTTGATATAAAAGAAAATTCCGAAACTTACGTTAAATTGGAGGACACGTTTAAAATATTCTTTAATGGGTCAAACAAGTAAGAAGGTGAAGAACGACATATGGAATAATCTCCACCTGTACAATCACGTGGGCCCAACACGATTTTCCACCGTCCATCCAACTTTAGGGGGGTAGACAAGATTGGATACATGCCACCATATGGTGCTCTCCACCTAGAAAATCTCAGCCGTCAAATATTAAGCCCAGCTCACAATCATCCTGATCTTTGTTTATTCTGAGTGGGACCCATAATCGAAAATTCATCGGATAGAGATTAAAAGTGTTCGGATAAGATGGTGACACTACAAAAAAATTGCTTTTTTGCGACGGTAAAACGCCGTCGCAAATACCCCAAATGCCGTCTCAAAAGGTTTTTTGCGACGGTAAATAGCTTTTTGCGACGGCAAGTGGGGGGTCGCAACAAAGGGGGTTGCAAAAGGGTTTTAGCGACGGCATAACGCCGTCGCCTTTTTTTGGGACGGTAAAGTGCCTTTTTTGTGACGGAAAAATTCTATCGCAAATAACGCGTGAAAATCTGAGTTTTTCTGAGACAGCACTGTGTTGCAGTCGCTAAAAAGGTCTTTTGCGACGACAAAAATACCGTCGCTAAAGGTTTATTTGAGACAGCACCTGAACCGTCGCTAAAGAGCTATTGGCAACGGCAATAAAACCGTCGCTAAAGGCGTTACGTTTCAACAAAAAATTGCTTTTTTGCGATGGCAAAACGCCGTCGCTATAAGTATAAGGCGTTTTATAAACATCACTGATACTTATAGTGACGTTTTCATAAACATCAGTATACTATTAAATCTGCTTAAATAATTATGTCAAATTGATGACGTCACAAGATATAGTGGCGTTTTGAACAAAAACGCCACCTTTTTACTTAATTTCATAATTTAATTAATATAAAATATGCTCTGAGTTGGTTATTTACATTCCATTCACAAAAACATCATAACAGAAAATAAAAATTAATAAAACCATCAAATTCAATATTTTACAAAGAACAATTAAACTGTACATGTTCATAAAAGCATATTTAAATTATAAAATTCACCCCAATCCTAAAAAAAAGTAAAATAATAAAATAAAATCTGATATTCACCAATAAGCACACTTGGATATTTAAATGCTCTTACAAAAAATAAAAAATTTCCAACAAGATTTCAATTTTGGGCCTATTTCAAAAATCAAGCTGCAAATTCCTTACTTCTAGAATCAGATCTTCCCCTCGGCAAAATTTGTTCTTTTGACCTACAAATAAATAGATAACAGTTGCAAATTATAATCTTTTTGAAGAAAATCTAGAACAAAGCAATAAATACCATCAAAATCATTAAGAGATAAAAGCTAATACATAAATCCCCATGATAGTAACAGAGCAAAGATAAGAACTAGGATTCACAACGTACAAAGTTCATATGCCAGAAAAGAACTGTGTTAGTGACAGACTTTGTAATATTTGACAAATTTCAAATGTCCTCCAATCATATTCAAATACGTGTATGCTTAAATATCATTTGTATTGCACTATGCAGTGCTTGTTGAAACTTAAATATGAATAACTAGTTTGTAGCTTCAAGCCCTAGAATTTGATTTACTCGTAAGAACACTTAATCTTGCCTCTTCCACCACTCCTTTTTTTTTTCTTTTAATGAGTGCCGCTTCCATCATCTATTAGCTTCCATCATCTATTAGCAGGTGTTCCACACATTCTAACTATTTAAACACCAGTAATGAAGACAATGAAGACTGTGGAAAGAACACTTACATTGTCATCAGGAACAACTGCATATCTCTCAATTGGAGAAACCAAAGCTTTCCCTGCTCACAAAAAAAAATAATAATAATAATAGTAATAATAATAATAATAATAATAATATCAATAATAATGGAATTCAATGTAGTCCAAAATAGTGGTATAAACTCTTAACTTGAGTTGCTTAAAAAACAAATATAGACAAAGAAAGGGAAGTCACACACCTGTAGATGGGTCAAGTTTTAAAGATTCTATCTGTTGTCCACTAGATCCATCCGCACTCAGAGATTCTATCATCTTTGGAATGTTTCTACAAAATTTCGAGGAAAAAAAAAATCTAGAAGTTTATGAGTTACACAAGAGTATGCCATAATTGAGAAGGCATGTGATGTTCAACTACAAAGCACACAAACAGACATACAACACGACATTGAAAAAATGCAGGACACAGACCGTGTGGAAAACATGCAAAATATATAATTTTAAAATTTATCGTACGTCGCATACACAAATATTTATTTAAAAATTTTAAAAATTACAACATAACATGAATTCCTAAAGTTTAAAGGATGAGGGATTAATAGGCGTAAATATACATTGTTTTTCTTTTATCATTGTATTTTAAGTTATTTTGTTCAAACTATATTGTGTTTCATGTGTCTAAATGACAGACTTATGTGTTCCCAGAGCGTCCAAAACATGTTCAGTTCTCAAAAAAATAATAGGACACGCTTGGACGAATGTCCGACATGGACACACCTGAGAAGTCTCTACACTTCTTAGGTGTTCAGTCCCACAAAAAAAAAAAAAAAAAAAAAAAAACTCAAATAAGTATGAACAAGTAGACCATTCTACAATGTACAACCTTATGCTAGAAAACAATTAAAAGGAAATAAAATGCGCAACTTAAAAACTATTTAATACCATTCTACAATGTACAACCTTATGCTAGAAAACAATTAAAAGGAAATAAAATGGGCAACTTAAAAACTATTTAATAGCCCTGGGTACCAGTTCAGAGGCATTCCATGCCCAAAGCCAAATACAAAGTATCATATGAAACTCATAATGTCAAAATATTGGGCCAGTCCAAAAGCTATTACCGGTCAACTGACTCCCCATGCCCAAGCTGTCCATTTGTACCTCTTCTCCAAGAAAATACATTTTGTCTTTTAGTAAAAGCAAGTGTATGCCTCCACCCACATGAGATCTGAACTACTTTCTGCAAGTGAAAAACCAAACCAGCAAAAGATAGTGATAATTAAAAAAGACCCCATATAAGAAATCAAAACCAGCAATATTCTCCTTTAACTAAACATTAAGGCCAATGGACCAAGTAATATAATATGGGAACCCCTTCGGTACATACCCGTTATAGGGTGTGTATCATATGCACCTCCTTTAACTAAACATTCTGATGCTCTTTTATTAAGCAAATTCCTTTAAAAATTTCAAAATCTCTGTCAACCACACAGCAACTAAACTCTTCACAAGTTGAAATACATCAACCGAACTCTATTGACTCATTAAACAGTACCTTGTCACCAAGAAGGCAGAGAAAGAGAACAGAGTATTGAGATCTCTAAACAACAAATTCAAGCAAATAAAGAATACAACAAATTCCATATTCTTATTCTTTTCACTAGATTTTCCTGTCTAAAGAAAAGAACATAAAGGAACTGATACCAAATTAGGAAATCATAATCAACTCCATGAAAACCGAAAAGGTTACCTGTGAAATAAAATTTTCACGCAGGGCTTCCCGCCTATGAGGTATGAGGTGGTCTTCAAAATCTCCATGTCCTAATTGACCATACTTACTCCACCCATAAGTGTATAAACCACCAGAAGATGAGACAGATATTGTATGCCTCCATCCATAAGCAACCAGAACCATCTTCTCTGCCTGGAACTTGGAAATATTACAACTTGATATTTGAAGTAAACAAGTTTGAGAGAGACAGAGATAAAACACAGAACAAATTATAAAGCATTAACAAAGTAATTGGAAACAGCTTTTGCTAAAATTGCCTATCATGGAAACACAAGACTGTTCTACAAAGTTAATAGAGAAAAATACATAAGGTTTTTTTTTTCCTTAATCATACAGTTCCCAAAATGCTAGCTTTCTAGCATTTTCGGCTTAACTACTGGCATTTTTAAGTGGCTAAAGTTGGATTTTTGGTGGGAAATGGACATGCCAAATGACCTAGTGCTTTTTTTTAGAAAAATGGATTTATAAGAGCATCAAGTTTGAGTAAAAATTGGTTAAAAGCTTGATGGGATGCTCCAATAGCTTTTCATCAAATAAAACCAAATATTTTTATCTACCTCTTTAGTGGTTATTGCTCAAGCAAATGATAAACTATGCAAGGCTCTAATTTGAAAGGAAAAGAAAACAAAATGAAGATCAGTTACCTTAATAAATTTTTTGATGCAAGCCTAGCCATGTCGATCCTCAAATCATTAATGATCTCCCAATCCTGCTCCAATCAACAACAACACTCATTTCAAACTTAGGAAGTGTAGAAATGAATACACAGAGAATAGAGATGTAAACTAGTCAAACTAAAAATTAGTTAAGTGGGGAGATGCAAAAGAAACTAAACAAACAAACAACAAATGAGACTTGTTCAACTGAAAAACTTTAACCAAATAATACTCAACTTTTAGAGCGGAAGGCATTTTGTGAGACGGATCAGAGGAGAAACCGAAATCAAAAATCTAAACTTCAATTATGTAGATCAGATCGTCAAGGAAACACAAGGTTTCCAATGGAATTCCTATATATAGAGCGGGTTGGCGATTACAGATGCGAAGAACCAAAAACAAGAAGAAGAAGAAGAGATGAGAACGTGAATTATGAATACGATTACAGAGAGATATAGAAAGAGCAAAGAGAGGGCGCTTTCCTCCTTGTGATATGGAAGGGGAGAGAGTAATCTGACAGTGCGCATACACATCAGGTTTCTCAGCAGCTCCTTCGCCACTAGAATGAGAGCAACAGAGGGAAAGCCAACGGAGTGAGAAACAAAAGATTGAGGCTCCTTAACCCCGTCACTCGACGCCATCGTCTGCCCTGCTCACAGTCGCGAGAGAGACAGAGATGGGGATTATTGGTTCAAAAATTAGGGATTTGAGATTTGGGAATTTTTGGTTGAGGGGGGGAGAAAAAACGAGCGGGAATGAAAAGGGGGGGGAATGGAAATTTTTTTGGAATTTTTTTTTATATTTTCATTACAAATGAATATTTAAATAATAAAACGATTCTTTTTTTTTCGAAACGGAGGATTTGCTAAAAAAAATTATTTTTTATTAAAATAATTTTTTTTATAGTTAATGAATTTTTTTTTCCCATTTAGTAATGTTGAAAATTTATTTTATTCATTATTTTAATGAATAAAAAATTATTATTATTTTTTTATTTGGTAGAAGTAGAGATAATATTTTCCATTAAAATAAAGTTAATTTTTTGTGGTCAATGAAAAATATTTTTTTGCGACCATTTTTTTTTTTGTTACTACAAATCAAGAACTAATTTTTTGTGGTAGAGGATAAAAAGTGGCAATAGTGGTGAAAGTGGTGGACAAGAGGTGATAGTGGTGGTGGTAGTGATGCTGAAGGAGATAAGTGGTGAAGTTGTGGTAGTGGTAGAAGAGATAGAATAGCGGTGGTAGAGGATAGGTAATGGTAGTAGTAGTGGTGGTAGTAATGATAGTTGTAGAGGTCGAGTGACAACAGTGGTAGTAGTGGAGTGGCATTTGCAGTAGTGGTGAATGTGGTAGAGAAGATGGGTTGTGAGAGAGAGATGAGTGAGAGACAGATAGAGAAGAGAGATAGAGAGAAAGAGAGAGAGAGAAACAGACAGAGACAAAGTGATGAGCAAGAGAGAGACAAAATGGTCGCTAAAAGTGCATTTTCTTGTAGTGGAAAGCTCGGTAAATAGAGAAGAGATGAGGGAGAAATTGAGCAAGGTGAACACAATGGGGGAGAGAGACAAACAGACAGACAGACACATAGAGAGAAAGAGAGAGAGAGAGAAGAGTGAGAGACAGACAAACAGACACAGAGAGAGAAAGAGAGAGAGAAGAGTGATAAGTGAGAGAGAGAGACAACGAGAGAAAGAGATATATATATATAGAGAGAGAGAGGGAAAAAGGGATAGAGAGAGACAGAGAAAAATAGAGAAAGAGAGATGAGAGAGGTAGAGAGAAAAGAGATGTGCGAGAGACAAAGAGAGAAAAAGAAAGAGAAAGAGACAGAGACAGAGACTGACAAACTGAGAAGAGTGATGAGTGAGAGAGAGAAGAGAGGTAATATTTTGTGGTAGAGAAGAGGAAACGGCAGTAGTGGTGAAGATGGTGGATAAGAGATGATGGTGGTGGTGGTGGTGGTGGTGATGGCGAAGGAGATTAGTGGTGAAGTTGTAGTAGTGGTAGAGTAGATGGAGTGGCAGGGGTGAAAGAGAAGTAATGGTAGTAGTAGTACTGGCAATAGTGGTAGTAGTGGTAGTGGAGTGGTGGCGGTGGTAGTAGTAATGGCAGTCGCAGAGATGAAATGGCGACCGTGGTAGTAGTGCTGGTAGTGAAATAGCGTTTGCAGTAGTGGTGAAGGTGGTAGAGGAGATGGGTGGTGAGAGAGAGAGATGAGTGAGAGACAGATAGAGGAGAGAGAGAGAGTGGTGAGCAAGAGAGAGACAAAATGGTCGCTAAAAGTGCATTTTCTTATAGTGGATCGATAAATCCAGAAGGAGCTCGATAAATAGAGAAGATGAGAGTAAGAGAATGAACAAGGCGAACATAGTGAGAGAGAAATAGACAAGTAGACACAAAGAGAGAGAGAAGAGTGATGAGTGAGTGAGAGACAGAGAGAGAGAGATATAGATGGAGAGATCGAAAAAGAGAGAGAAACAAGAGATGAACGAGAGATAGACAAAAAGAGAGAGAAATAGAGCAAAAAGAGATGAGCGAGAGAAGGACACAAAAAAAGAGAGAGACAGAGAGATAAAAGAAATAGGCGAAAGAGATAGAACGATAAGAGAGAGAGAGAGATAGAGAAAAGAAATGAGAGAGATAGAGAGAAGAGAGATAGGCGAGAGACACAGAGAGAAAATGAGAAAGAGAAACAGACAGATAGAGAAAGAAGAGTGACGAATGAAAGAGATAAAGAGAAGAGAGAGAGATAGAGACAAAGAGACATGAAGATGAAAAAATAAATGAAAAGAGAAATGTTATATCAAAAGAGTAAGACGACATTATTTTTTTTAATATTTTTTTGCAACAGAAAAATACCGTTGAATTTATTCAAACCATTTTGTGACTGTATATATATGAAGCTGTCTCAAAACCACAATCACTATGCTAGGTTAGAGTTTTCCAAAAACTCTTTTGAGAAAATTATACTTTATTGTTTTCCGTGTTATATTGTTTTTACTGAATTTTTTTAATATTTTAAGCATTTTTTTTTTATTTTTAGACACACCTAACATAAATAAACCTAAAAATTAAAAAAATTGTAAAAAAAATCTTTTAAAAATTCACTAAATACCAAAAATACAATATTTCAATACATTTTTTTTTTTTGTATTTTTATGTATTTATTAATTTTTTTAAAAAAAATCGTAATTTTTTTTTAGATACATCTAAGTAAGGTGCATCTAAAAAGAATTAAAATTTTAAAAATATTCACTAAAAAAAAAAAACACACAAAAGTCACTTTTTGCGACGGCAGAAAATACCGTTTTAAAAAGCAGGGTATTTGCGACGGCACCAAATACCGTCGCAAATACTCTCATGTTTTGAGACGGCAAATACTCTGTTTTTTAAGATGTCATTTTTTGCCGTCACAAAAAAGTGATTTTTTGAGACGGCAAGTGTGCCATCACAAATAGTTCCGTCTCATAAACTCACTTTTCTTGTAGTGTGATAAGGTTTTATAATGTGCTTTATACGATAAGAAATCTTGTGTTGGATTATACCCATGAATATACACCTTTGTGCCACGTTGACCTCCCTACCATTTGCTATACATACACTTCCATGTGGTCTATTTTAATTTAATTTTACATTATCCATTATTTTACAATAATTTCTATCTGTATATTATAAAAAATCTTAATTTACATTATTTTTTATTTAAGTGGCTGCTTAGGATTTGCTTATTTAGTGTATTTTTTTTATTTTTATAAAAAAATTTATGAAAAAATAGAGATATGGTGTGACCTAACTAAATACACTTATCAATTATTAAACTAAATTAGCAATTTAGATATCAACTATAGAATAAAAATATAATTGGTACTTGATGTTAGAATAATTATTTTTGTTCAATAATTAATATACGAATAAGTAATTTTTATTCAATAGTTGATTTACAAATATACAAAATGGCATGGACAATCTTTAAATGAGCCCTCCTTTGGAATGGGACTACTAAACTAAAATAGTTATAAAACGATAAAATATCATATCTAAACCATAATTATTTTATTTTTTCTCTCACAAAAGTCAAAAAAATCTAATGAGATTTGGGGAGTAAGTATTTTAGCCAAAAAGTCACTACAAATTGTCACATCACTCTCTCTATTTTTTTGTAAATCATTTCGTAAAAAGTTAAAAATTTACTAAAATAACATGTTTCCAAATGAGGCCAGCCAAAAAGTCAAAAAGTCAACTCATTTTCCAAATGAAATCTGAATAAACCATGCTTTTTACCGTTTTGTCCTTGTCCTAACAAACAGGAGAAATAAGAGGGGATATAATAAAATTTTGAATATTAATTATAATTAATTTTTTTAATATTAGTTTTTTGTCATTTCTTATAACTTTACTTGATTGTGTAATAAAAATAATCCACAATTTATGCTTGACTATCTATTTACTTACATATATGCTTCTACTTCAACTAGACTATTTTTTTCTTGCGTGTGTTAATTTTTTTTACTAATTTTCCCATGTTTATACCATTATTAGCTCAAAGAATTTGTTTGGGAACTTGGTGGGAACTCGTTACTTGGGGTTGTTGTGGCTTTCAATCTATTACGAAGAAAAATAATATTTGTTGATAGATATATATATTATCTGTTTATTTCATGTTTTATATATTTACTCAATATATGTTAGATTCATTTTAATTAATTAAAAAATGATGGAATTCATTTGAAAGCTTTGTACATCTATTTCCATATATAATGATCTCAAAAGTGATTGATACTTTCATATGAAAGCTTTAAAATGATAGCTTTTATTGGGGAGAGGAAATGACTTGTATGTCCTTTTCTTTATAATTTGTTCCACCAACCCCAAAAAAGGAGCCAGTGAGTTATTTGGCCACACAATAGTAAAATATATACTTTTCTTGTTAGAAAAATAGAGGATAAGCCAATTAGATGCCCTTACTCGCTTTAAGGTGACCAATGAATTTAGTTATTTGGAGGTGCTCAAATGGTGTTCACAGCACAGAATTTTTATCAGTTAATATTCTCACAGATTTTAAAGTGTTGCTATGGAGAATCAAAACAAAGAAGGCGGTGGAATGGAAATTGTACTCTATTTGAAATGATATTAGTTATCTTTGTAGTAGTTTGGATCATGTATGTATTACTAAGGTAAATAGAAAGGATGTTCAGCCTGTCCATGAAGTTAGTCGTAGTTCAGATCTGAACTACGTTTTGTATGTGTATGAAATTGTATGTTGCTTTTATTATTAGAATGAGTGATCTCATTTTCTTCAAATAAATAAATAAATAAAATAAACTTAGTTATCTTGCAGATATGCCGAATGATTTATAAAATCAATAATCGAATGGTTGAGTCAATTTGCGTGTACATCAATTAATCTCGAAAGTAAAATAATTAAATATCTTTACTATTAAAGGATCCTTGAAAGTGTTTAATAAACCTAACTATTATACAAACATACCAAGTATTCTATAGAGTCAATAATCGAGTATCTGAATTAATTTGCGTGTATCTTAACTAATTTTGAGATCTTAAAATTAAAGAACAGATGGCTTATTAGAATAACTCAAACTTAGACTTCACATCAAATCTTTACACCACCCCTCAGTGTTTCTATAGACTCAATCTTTTAAGTAATTTGTCATTAACAACTCAAACTTCTCTCTCTCTCTCTCTCTCTCTCTCTCTCTCTCTATATTTGTTTTTATTTTATCAAATCAACTCAAAAATATTTGTAAAATACAAAAAGTTATCTACTTGATCCAACTTATAACACAAATGATATGTCCTTTTGACAATAAAAAACACATTTTTTTAAAAATCTAAATACTACTAAATAAACAACTATGTAATATACTAGATATTAGACAATTCTCTTTTGCCCATAAACCATCATATTTTGTGTGCAACTTTATTACATTGGAATTTTTTTGAATTGTAATTATTTTTACTAATGTAAATATATATATATATACAAAGGTTTCGTTTGGTTATTCCAGTTAAAATTAAAAAAGTACAAAAGATAAAATAAACTAAATAAGTCAATAAGACAAAATATTATATCTAAATTATAATCATTTCATATTTTTTTCTCACAAAAGTTTAAAAAATAAATAAAATTGCCAAATGAATTTTTTAGTACCAAGTTAAAAAAAAAAAAGTCTTAATTCTAAAAAATCAATTAAAATTGTTTTTGCCAAACGACAACAAAATAACATCATAATATTTTGAGAAATTCTATATTTTATGACTTAATTATACATATCATGGTATTAGTCATAACTAATTATGATATTAGTAATGATATTATTTTAAATATACTTTATATTATATTTTAGTATAATTATTTTTTATATTTATAACTTTTATATGATTATCCTAATATCTTTTTATGAAAAAAAATTATTCCGAAAAAAAAAATTTCACAAAAGTATTTTTTTATAAATTTTGGCCGATAAAAATTTAAGTGCATACAAACTCTTATCAATCAAAATTTATAAAAAAAATGTTTTTATAAGAAATTTTTGTAGAAATATAACACGGTTGATCATTCTATTACAAGGATAGCAATGGTTGTTAGGCAGTTTGTTAGAAACTACGAGGAAGCCCTAGAAAGCCCCAACAATGTGAGCGCGGATTCTCGGCCGCATTACCCAGCAGCCGTTTCTAGCAGCCCCCAAAACGACGTCGTTTTGGGGGAAATTTTCAAAAAAAAAAAAACGCAGAGGAAGGAAGGAGAGGAAGAGGGAGGAGGGAGGAGGAGGAGGAGGAAGGGAAGGGAAGGGAAGGGCAGGGCCGGACTGGAGGGGGCCATAACCAGTGGGAGGAGGAGGAGGAGGAGGAGGAGGAGGCGGGGTCGGAGGCGGAGGAGACGGCGCACCGTTGCTGCGACGAGGTGGGTCGGACGACGATCGGACGGCTGCTGCGACGAGGCTGCGACTCCCTCCTCCTTCCTCCCTCATATTTTTAGGGTTAATCATACTTTCATCTATGTAATTTGATTTATATTTTACTTTAATCTCTATAATTTTAAATTAAATAATTTGATCTATACACTTTAAATGTAATTTCAATTTAATCATTGCATTCAAATTTGAGATTAAAATTAACAAATTTAAAACACTAGTCAACAAACGACGTCGTTTTGGGGGGCTGCCGGGTAGGGCGGCCGAGGATCCGAATTCCAACAATGTTGGCAGACCAGCTACCCTCTTCACACTTGACAACACAAATCCCACTTGGCTTACCTCTAAGCTCGACACGTGTCAAATCAAACACTAATCTGGCATAAAGTGAAAATCAATTCAATTTACAGAACGGACGGTCCATATCAAACGCACCACCTTTCTTATCATCGTCCGTGCACCACTTTATAATTCCCCACTCTATCTATAACCTCACAAGTTATAAAAATATGTAGTTATGGTATTGTGATCCATATTTGTCCACCGCGTCTCTCTCTCCTCTTTCACTCATTTTCTCTCTCTATATCTATATGTATATATATATCGCATCTCCGAATTTCGGGAGAGAAAAAGAAATAGAAAATCTTTGAATCAAAATCTATTCAACCAAACACTAACTCTCGAACTCCACCACAACCAATTTTCTCAAAACCCAAATCGCCTCGGTTCATGTAATTAATCCGAATTCGAATCTGGGTTTTGGTGGATTCGATTTGGAGACCCGAGAGAGAGAGAGAGAGAGGGAGGGATCATGACTCGGCGGTGTTCGTATTGCAGCCACAATGGCCACAACTCTCGGACCTGCCCGAATCGTGGAGTCAAGCTATTCGGAGTCCGGTTGACTGATGGATCGATCCGGAAGAGTGCCAGTATGGGTAACTTGACCCATTACACCGGATCCAGTAGCGGTAGCCTTCAAAATGGCCTCGCCGGAAACAACCACGACTCTCCCGGAGACACGCCAGACCACGGCGGCGCCGCCGGAGATGGGTATGCGTCGGAGGATTTTGTTCCCGGGTCGTCGTCCAGTCGGGAAAGAAAGAAAGGTTCGAACTTTCTTTGTGTTAATTTATGGGTTCGGTGGTTTTAATTTTGAAGTTCTTCATCTACAAAGTTTTATTTTGTTTATCTTTATTTGGTGATATTGTGAAGAATCGAATTCGAAATTGAATGAATTGAGTCAATACTATTTATTTTTTAGTTGTTTACTAAGAATGAAGGGTTTAAGCAGAGAAATGATGAGTTTATTTGGTTTGGGTTGATGGTTTTCTATGTGGATTTCAGTGATTTGATTACATATAATAAAAATTATGAAAAAGAGCTCATATTTGGTTTACAAATTGAATCAGAAATTATGAGAAATGGAAATAAAAAGAATTTGCTTGTTCAAGCATGATGATTTGTGAGAAAAAACCGTCATTTCTTATCTCTTTTTTACTCAAATGAGAGATCACAATGATTTCTTTTCTGTTTTCACAAAGCTCAAACTAATGATGAATATAAGATTCAGAACTTAGAATTATTTTTTTCATCAATAATTCCTTAGGAACCAACCTTGGATTAGTTACTCGGTTTTGCTCGGATGCATGCTGTGAAGCATAGACAGGGACACGGGACATAGATATGACACGGATACGTCATCACAAAAAATTTCAAAAGGGTAGGACACCGGCATGCAAGGTTTTAAAAAGCGGCCGCAACCGTTACGTAACGGTTTTGGCGGTTACCACCACCCGTTACGGCCGCTTTTGCAGTGTGATTGAGATTCACAGGTGTGTCGGCCGTAACGGCTGCCGTAGCGGTCGTAATGGTGCCATAACGGCCTGATACACACCGTTACGTAACGGTTCTAAACAGTTTCTTTCGAAAAAACACAAAAAAAAAAAAGTTGAAAATAGAGGAAGAGGGATAGAGGGAAGAGGGAAGATAAAGAGAGAAAATGGAGGAGCAAGAGATAGAGAGAGAGAAGAGAGAAGATGAAGAACATGTTATTGATTTGTTGAAGCTGTAAAACCTATGCTATTCTATTCAGCTGCTATCACTAAACCATTTTGTTTGTGTGTGTCTATCTATATATTGTTTGAAAATAATAATACTAATAAGTGTGGTCATTATCTATTTGGCTTGGTTAAAATATGTATATATATATATTTAGGTTCTTATTTATTCTCTTACTTTTGTCATTATTTATCTTATATATAATAGTTAGTGATTGATTTTTTGTATAATATGAAGCCATTAATTATTAAAATAAAATGTAAAAAACTCAATTTATAGTGATTTAAAAATATGAAATATATTGGATCATACTTAAAAATTTATAAAAATTGATCAATATTTATTTTTAACCCAATAAATATGATCATGGAAAAAAAATATGCGTATCGGTAAGTTTTTTCAAATTGTGCGAAAAATAAAAAAATTCACGGTTCCGGTTACCGCAACCGTTACATTACGGCTTTTACACCCCGCAACCGCAACCGCGTCACCGCCACCGTTACGGCAACCGCAACCGCTTTTCAGAACCTTGCCGACATGGCTTGGACATGCCAAAAATAATTATATTTTGATATCATATTATTTAAGAATATATTATATTATATAGTTATATATGTGCATAATATTACTTTATACTAGTAAATCTTATGTCTAATTCACTTACATGAATTTTTAGACTACTGGATTGAACTACAGTAGTTAGAAACTAGACAAAATATAGGAAACATATATAATTGCAACATTTCCCTCATCCTCTTAAGCCATCTATTTATATATATTTTTTTAAAGAATTACACATTCCGTTATTATTAAGAGTCCTACATTGTTTTTAAGAATATAAAATATGTATGTCAAATTCTCTTAAGTTTGAAAATCATGCGTTAGCAAATGTCAAAGTGTTGGTCTCATGTTTATATTTTTGGCGATAGACATTGGCCAAGAAGTGACGGACACGTTGTAAAATGAGTGTCGGATACGTGTTCGAAATTAATATTTTTAATTTTAATTAAGGACACGTAACAAAGAGTATCAAACATGTGTCTAAGAGTGTCGGTGTCTGACATGGACGTATCGCTTTCTTAGAAGTAGCCTGTGCTTCTTAGGATGCGTGGGAAGGAGAATCTAGGAGGAGTTATTATTAAAGCTTCTTTGCATTTTATGACCAAAAACTAAAATGTTTGGTCTTTCTTTGTTTTATCTTCGCAGATGAATTTTTAACTAGACTGCTTTAACTTTTGTGTGGTTCAAGTGGATTTTTATGCATAGATTGTCAATGATTGATTGTAATAAGTGCTCTGAATCACTCTGGTAGCTCAACGACGACTTTTTGCAGAACAAACACTAATTGTCCTCGTAATGCCAAGTAGTACTATTCATGCATTATAGTGAGTTATATTTCCAGTATTGTTTCCAAAGTTTTTTATGGGTGAGTTCTGATTTTGATTGTTGTAGTGTAAAGCACAAAATAAAAATTTTAATTTTTAAGCATATAATGAAGCATCGTACTTCGTGTTTTGAAGTCAAGAAGTTTATTTTTGTATGGACTATTGCTAATAATGTCATTAGAACTGTAAAATTGGGGTTTAATGTCAATCTCCGATTCTTGAGGACTTTGACATATGAGGAGTTTGAAGATTTAGAGTAATGATATACAAATAGAAAAATCATATATAAAATCTATAAATAAAAATATGGCTGATTTGTATCTATTTATTTCCAAAGTGCCATTACCATATCATTTTGGTAGGATTTTCTGTATAAAATTTATGTTTGCAAATTATTTTCCGAAGATTTAACATGGAGGCTGGGACACACTTTAATACTTCAGTAATACTACAAACCCAATCTGAACTACCCAGAAATTACTCGGAATTGTCATCTTGTGGTTTAAATTTATTCTACACACGGACCCCACTCTACACAAGTTCAATCTCAACCACACAACTCCCATTCAGGGTAAATTCGGGGTATTTAAGTGGGGGGTTCATAGCATTTTTCTTAATACTTTTGTGGGTTAGCTGAAGCACTTCCCAATGCAACTGCAGACCACTTTAATGTTTTCCATAGTGTCTGCTTTACATTGATTCATAAATATCAATAACTGAGGTTTGTTTATTTTATTTTTACTGGACTGAATGTACATTTTTTAGTACTCTACCATAATCTATGCGCAGTTTCTTGCACATTGGACTGAATATCCATCATTTGTTCATCTATCATGTAGTTTTTGTTGTCACATGCTCTGTTTTCCTTTGAAACAATGCATAATTTGATTTGCAGGTGTTCCATGGACTGAAGAGGAACATCGGATGTTTCTATTTGGTTTACAAAAGCTTGGCAAAGGTGATTGGCGTGGAATATCACGCAATTATGTAATATCAAGAACACCCACACAGGTTGCTAGCCACGCCCAGAAATATTTCATCAGGCAATGCAATGCTTCTAGGAGAAAAAGACGTTCCAGCCTATTTGACATTGTAGCCGATGAAGTTAGTATCTTCCTTTCTTCATCTCTCTATTTTCTTGCTTTCTCCTTTAAGCAGCTAGTGTTCCATCCATCCACTTGTGTAACTCATATTATCTTCCACATATCTCTACTGAAGATTCTTATGCCAATGGATAAATTAGTGGCATGGTCATCAACATGGCATGTGACATAAATGCATGGGAACAGGACCATCTCTTGCGGTTATTGTGGGTGTAATGGTGCATACCCTTTCGGATATTTTGGTTTTGTATATCCGTTGGTTGTTCTGAATCATTAATTAATCCCGTATTCTGAGTGTGATATACAATGTTCTGAAACCTGGATAATTTTGCATTAATATTGAACAGTGATTTTATAATTGCATCATAAATATGTTGATAATTATGCATTAATAAACTATAGCTATTAAATTACAAAAATATATACTTTATTTTCAATTTATTTTTAATTTAAGATTTTGAATAATATGCATTGTTATTTTATAGAAAGTTGTAATGATTTTTAGTAAAGTTGGAACAATAATAAATAATATATATTTTTATAGATATAGTAAGTGCAGTGTGTAGTTCAGTGGTCTTGGCCTAAGCCTTTCCCAACAGAAATGCAAATTCAAGTCTCCAACACGACAAAAATTTTAAGCGAATGCATTGTGAACAGCCACTGGTTCGTATGGTTAACTGGTTTAATTGCAGGTTCAAACGGTTTATCTAAGAAACACCGGTTCTTGAAAGTGACCATTTCTAATGGTCTCTCTGAACCAGAACCTAGACTGGTCGATTGTTTAACCAGCTGGTACAGTCCAGTCCCGTTTCAAAGACATTAGTGATATGTATATTTTCCCAAGACTTTTCAAAATATCTTCTGCTTCCTCTGTCTTCAATGTGCATTCATAAATGATAATTGTATTATTCCACTTTTAAAGTCCTGAGGGGGCATATTTGTGCAAATTTCTTTTCCAAAAGTCCATATTGGGATCCATATGGTTAGGTTTCTGTTTTCAGATCCATGCAAATTTGGTGTTTGCTTTTATCTTTTTAAATACTTGTCATTTATACACCTCTTTTCTTGCATTTCTCCTTTATGCAGTCAGTTGACACTCCCATGGAATCACATGATTTCTTCACGGTCAACCCTCAAACCGAGACACAAACAAACAACCCATTGCCGGACCCTCCTACTTTGGACGAAGAGTGTGAATCAATGGATTCTACAAACTCCAACGATGGGGAACAACCTGTCCTGCAAAAGCCCGATAGTTCTCAGCACTGTTACCCTGTTATGTTTCCTGCTTATATCACTCAATTCCTACCATTTTCCGTTCCATTTTGGCTCAGAGGGCACAGTACAGAGGCAGCTAAAATGGAGGAGACACATGAAGTGCTTAAGCCCACAGCAGTACATTCAAAGAGCCCAATTAATGTTGATGAGCTGGTTGGAATGTCGAACCTCAGCATCGGGGAATCCCTTGGGGATGCGGGCCCCTCCCCTCTCTCGCTCAAACTGCTTGAAGGTTCGTCTAGTAGGCAGTCGGCTTTCCAGGCTAATCCTGGCTCGGGGAGCTCAGGTGTTAACTCAATCAGCAATCCAATCCATGCAGTTTAGAACTCTGTCTCGAGATTACGGGGTGCTACATGCTGACGGGATCTAGAGAGACTTGTTAATATAAGACAATAATGTGCTGTCTGGTTTGGATTCAGTTATAGTTGTCTTTGTTGGATAACCTTTAATAAGTTTTTTATTTCTAGGAATTGTTAATTTAAAAGTCAGTTCTGACCTTGTAGGGTTTATATCAACTTGTGTCACAATTTCTTGAACTTCTAGCAATTTTGTGTCAAGTTCTTTTGATCTTCCTATGTTCATTTTCTGTGGTATATTAACTTAGAAATGTCCTCTGATGTTATGTTGTCAGTTTAACTAGAAAATGAGATACGGTATGGCATTGGATATTTGTTACAATTGCTTGAACTTTTTAGGGAGTCCTTTTGATCTTCCAAAACCTAGAAATGTCCTATAATGTTCTGTTGTTATTTTAACTAGAAAAGTGAGGGACAGTCTGGAATTGGGTATTGGTAATAATGAAAACCAGGCTCCTGTAAGCTTTTGCAATTGTGCTGTCAGATGGAAAATTGTTGTTAGTAGTGTGTTTGGGTACTGGGAAAATTTGAAAGAAATGTTGATCCTTTTCTAATGGGCTTCTTTCTGCATGTTGGTTTCATGTGTTTGAAAGGCAGGAATGAAGAATCCCTTTCAACTGTTTGCAGTTGCTATTTTACGTTCATAGACTCTGGCACACGAGTAACTATTTTGTGTTTTGTGCCCGTTTAATAATAGGGGTTGTGTTTAAATGATCCGAAACATATGATTAATAGTGGGCACAAAATAATAAGAGAACATGTGTGGCATTCCGTGTCTTAAATTGCCATATTTTTAGTTGGGAAAAATCATCGATCAAACTTGTGAATGTCATTCAATGCTTGTTCTGATCGACTGATGAGTGTCCCCATCAGAACCATCATCATCATCAGATTATTCAATAAGATTTGAAGAGTTTCTTAGGTTGCTAAAAGATTTATTTTTATTTTTTTATTTTTTTTTATGAGCACAAGTTGCTAATTGACTTGAGACACTATGATGCCTTCTATAGAAAAAATTTATTTTATCACTTCAAGCTATCATTTTTATACTACTTGAATCTTTTGAATTATCAATTTGAATGGCTAAATTATTGAAATTAGCCTATCTAGGTCAAACCCAGTTGATAAAGAGGACTAGAGGTTAAGGTTTTAGTTTGCAGAGTACCTTAACTCGTCAGAAAAAGCTTGTTGGGCTTTTTTATTTTGATAAGCGGGAACCATGTCCTAGGTGGAGACTTTGGAGGGCAAATGAGAGAGGCTGATAAGAGTGAACTTGAGTTAGGCATATTAGGAAAAATTCATTGACCAACTAGGTTACCTGTTTGGGGTAAAAGCTCGTTGAGCTTAGCTCGCAAGTAAACACGGACACCATTTTGACGGCCCATCTAGGCCAAGCTTGTTGGAAAGGACTTCGACCTAAGGTTTCGGCTTACGGCTTTGCTTGATCTGTCAAAAAAAATTGCCGGGCTTAATCTGCAAGCAAGCTTGGACATCATTTTTGTAACCCAGCCCGTCTTGACCCAAGCGGATACTGAACCATAATAAGGCGTTCAATACTTCTCGATAAGCTTGAATCCAAATCTAACTCCACAAATCCATAATTACACCGCTCAAATTCATATTCACTATTTCAATAGGGTTCAAGGGGACCAAAGAGCTGATTTACACGTTTGTTCTCTAAGCAGTATCTGATATTGACATTTAGGACATTACTTCATAACTTTTTAGGATGTTTACACATTTAGAAACTTTGAAAAAAGGACATGGATCCGTGTGTGTTTATTTAATTTATTTTTGGAAGTTTTACAAGAAAATGGGTTTGTAGAAACCTTATTATGCCAATCCCAATTAGCATTACATACACATAAAGTAACTCAAACAATTCAACAGCATCTTCACTTGACAAAACCGGGGAGAAACAAAACAGAGCATAACAGAAACAGAGACACTTATATAGACTCACAAACAACACTCAATCCACCATAGCTTTCATTTCTTACACATACCGTGGAAGCAGGTCTCTCCTGTTCCTGGCATGACCTATTTGCCGCCGCCATTCTCGCAGAAAATAACCGATGATTCTCTGATAAACCCAGTTCCATACCATTTGGAATCGGTGGCGAATCACTGCCGATTCGCTTGCCAAAAACAGAGCATACAACAGATAGAACACATGTTTGCCATTACCTGGGAAAAGAATGGAAGTCAGAGACACTGAAGAAACCGAACAAAGCACCACCATTCCACTGCGAATTACGCGGGAATAGGCCGGTAACCAGAGTTTGGCTTCGTAGGCGAAGCAATACAAGATCAGACTAGCAATGGCAACCCAGATGGCCTTTTGGTGCGTTTCGAATGAAGAAACATTTTTTCCTTGAAATTTCAGTTCGATAAAGTCGAGGAGCACCGGAGCGAGGAAGGCGAGGACGGCGTGGCTGGAAGTGGGCGGGGGTCGAAGGTGGTGGTGGGAGAGGTAGAAGGTCCTCCAGCTGATAAATAAGACATTGATGTTGTTGTTGTTGTTGTTCATGTCTTGGATTTAAGGCCTTGTTTGGCTGATTATGATCTGAAAAAGATGGATAAGAATGAGTTAGAACACAATGAGAAATATGAAAAATCAAATGTATAGAATATAAGATTAAGAAAGAAGGGAGAGGAGAGAAGCTATTAGTATTTTTACCAAGCTTATGGTTTTCAATGTATGAGGTGTCTGTGTTTTTTTTTATAGTGAGTTTGGTGGCACTAAGAGCTAGAAACAGCGTAAATTTACTTTTGGGATTCCATTGACTACATAGAGAAGGGAATTTTTTTTGCATGGATTGGATGATGAAGAAGAGTATAAAAGAGTTCAGGGAGGGCATAGAGACTAAAATATAAATGGGTGAGGAAACTTTTCCATGGGTGGGACATGGGAGGGTTGAGAGGCTTTTGGTTGATCACTTTCACAATGGAATATGACGTCAATAGGTTCATTGAGTTCAATGAGTTGGACCATGCTGGATGTCCAACATTTTTGTATGCGCATATGTTGAAAGTCTTTTGAGACCAAGACAGATTTTAGTCATGTGGAGGGGTGACAATGAAGAAAGGAAAAATGAAAGAAACTATCTAAAAAGCTCATGAGTGTGGACTTGGTTAATTAACTGCCCCAATAACATTAAACATTTAAAAATTTTACTTTACAAAATCAATGGTGTAATTGAGATTTATTTTAAGTACAGTGTTCACAATGTAAAAGTAGAATTCATAGCACATGTCAACTGTTTGGGTAAGATTCTAATTCAATATTTTGAGTTAGTAGATTTTCTATTCGTTGCCCTCCAATACCATATTGGGGAGCAAAATTGTACCTCACATGTTTTATTTGGTTTACTAGAAATGATCGTTTTTACGTAATATTCATTTTCTCATTTGATTCACTAATAAAATGATAAAAAAGTGTATTACAAATGAAACAATTTGCAATTGTAAAAACATACACTCTGCTTGGTTTTGGTTTCTACAATTTACTTTTCAAAAAAAATTTCTTTTTTATTTTTCGTATTTTTTTGTTTTTATTGAATTTTTTTTAATATTTTAAGCAATTTTTTAAAAAATTTTAGACACGCTTAACATAAATACACTTAAAAAGTATAATTTTTGTGAAAAAAATTTACTAAATCTGTGAAAAACTTACACTGGCCGTTCGACCGGCCTGACATTTGCCCAGTCGATCGGTGGTTTGATACAGTCTTAAATACCTCCATTAGAGGATTTGATATTAAATGAAACTTTCATCTAAATTTTTACTTAAATTTAATGGAAAAAAAAGATACACTGTTAGGGATGTCTATATATAGACATAATAGATAGAAAAAAGAACTCAATGATAAAACAATAATAATCAAGCTCACTAAGGTCTATTTTGGAAGGTGACTTTTTTTTTTTGATTTATTGACTTTTTTTATAAAAAAAATGTGAAAAAATAAATAAAAAAATAATATTACCCAAATAAGTCAATAAATTAATTCTTTTATTACCTTTCCAAAAGAGGTCTTAATTTGAAACATTTATTTTTGGATAATTTTTTTCTTTTTTGCCAAGAGATTCTAATGGGTATTTTTCAATATCAATAAAATGAGAGTAGTTCCCCGAGTAGTTCCGTTTGGTATCAAATTCACTTTCGTGGTTTTCTTTTTAAGAAAAGTAAAAATAATACTAAAACATTTGATGCTTTCATATTAAAGTTTTGGATAAATTACAAATATACTTCTTGAAATTTTTTTAAAGTACAGATTGTCCCATGTGATTTGAAAAATCACAAATACTCCATTGTTAGAATTTTTCATTTAACAAAATTAACTAAAAAAATAAAATTCATAATTGCTCTCTTATACAATAATAAAATTATCTAAATGATTAATTGAAATATATTTCTAACATCATTAAAACCTGTTAATTGACTTAATGATTTATTAATAAAATGTGCAATTTGTTATGAAATTAAAAACATTAGGTGATGGAATATAATTTTCAAAACCACAGAGAGGATTTGTATTTTAATCAAATTTCAGGAGATATATTTATAGAGTAATGCTAGAGATCCAAATATTTTGCTAAATGTTCTACCAAATGTCTCATATGTGGGTCACATACTCATGTGACACATTTGCTAAAACATTTAGAATCTCTAATATTTCTCATATTTGTAATTTATCCTAGAGTTTTTTACTTTTTGCATTTTCAATCTTTAGTAAAATTATTTACTACCATAAGTCAAATTTTGTTTTTGTTTTTTAACTTTTTAAATACATATAATCTAAATATTAAAACTAAAACATTTATAAAATCTAAAAATACGTTGGAAAAATTATTTATAAGTCCTATTAGGGAGACTTATGCTACATATGGTTCTACTAAAAAACTTATGTTCCCATAAGTTCGGTGGAAAGTTTGTTAATACATGTACCCTCAATATTAGTTGTTAATATCATAAATAATAGTAAAACCATATGTAGAAAATTGAATGTTACCATAGATCATATCTATATAAACGTAACGTAACGTGACACATACATAAACGTAACGTGACACCTACATAAACGTAACGTGACACATGATCTATAGCAACATTCAATTATAGATCATATCTACATAAACATAACGTAACATGACACCTACATAAACGTAATGTGACACCTATAATCTATGGCAACATTCAATTTCCTATTCAATTTCTTATATAGGAAATTGAATATTACTGTGTGGGTAATTTTCTGACCACACTGCTAACCTAGTAATCAGTTGGAGAGCACCGGCAGAATAGATGGCTTCAGCAAA